AATATATCATCGCTAAACCACACATTGACGGTACGTAGAAGTCGCAAATAAGACATGATCACAAGGTACAAGATCACCATGATCATCGTGAACATCCCACTGAGCAGCAACACTATACAACCAATGTGAGTCAAGGCAGTAACACAACACCAACAATGAACCACACACACACATTACACCGTGACAAACAAATGATAATACGACCTGATTCGCTTCAACACATTCTGTAATCACTTGAGTATTCATGAGCACCGAGGTAGCCATTATAAGGACTGACGATGTCCTCGCCTGGAATAATTAGGACAGAGAAGGCCATAGCAAGAGATATATCCGAAGGTTTATATTGCATTGCTACGCACTGTGTATCACTGACTTTATATAAATTACATTGTTTATCAACACATACTCTAGTGTATCCTTTATCAAATGTATTCGTATAATAAAAATTATTATTATTATTATTAATTATTATTATTATTTATGGTGTGTGGGTGTTATACGGTACTTGCACACAGCCTCAAGATTCATTCTGTATTAATACACCAACAGGGGTATTAAGGTGTGTATAACTGCTTCACACTACTCTCTTAAACAAAACAATGCCCTCTCCACGCTAACTGCTTCACACTACTCTCTTAAACAAAACAATGCCCTCTCCACGCTAACAGCTTCACGCTACTCTCCTAAACAAAACAATGCCCTCTCCACGCTAACAGCTTCACGCTACTCTCCTAAACAAAACAATGCCCTCTCCACGCTAACAGCTTCACGCTACTCTCCTAAACAAAACAATGCCCTTCCAACACTGATAGAACTGTGGAAAGAGCGGAAGACTTCGTACTGTGAAGCCTTCCATCAAGTGCTGTAACTCTCACGACTCTTCCATCACCAAGTGCATTCACAAAGTTGAAATTGCTTTTCCTTGAAATAGAAAACGTTTCGGAATCACTTTCTCCGTGTCAGTAAGTTTATCCAAGATGGTAACAGGTTGTAACCGACGGGTTTTTCTTTAGCAAATTAAAATAATTATAGACAAACATTATAAGGATGAAATTGAAGGGGGAGGGGTAGAAATAGCCTAAGATACTCTATCCCTTTGTGATGTATTTTATTGTCTCGATAAACGTACTTGAACTTGATAAGGATAAAGGTTAATGGTACGCGACAATGCTGACGTGTAAATCATCTCAAGATAACCTCAAGATAACCTCAAGAAGGATGGTTGAAAAACCAACCGATGTGATATTGTCATCCCTTGATCCATTTTTTTTTTTAAGACCACGAAGTGAAGACAATGTCCAAGAACAACGCCAATTCAACGTTGATTCGACGATTTATTATTCAAATGGAAAAATTATAAAATGATTCAAACAATTTAATATCTTCCAATTTTGTAAACCCTTTCATCCATTTATATACATATCATGTCTCATTCTTCGTCTTTCTAGATAATGAAAAATTAAGCATTCATAATATATCTTCATGTGGCAGTGGTCAAATTTCTGAGATTAACGTTGTCGTGAATACATATCAGTGCCACAGGGCGCTGGCCAAAACTGAATTGCATGATGTAAATAATATAAAAAATAATATTTATCTAATATAAAAATATATTTATCTATGTTTATTCAAATTATATACTCATGCGACTGTTCTTATTAATGTATTTGTGGCTATTTTTATTTACAAATGAAACGCCACCTGGTCTCATCACACAGGTCAATTTCAGTGTAGCGCTCTAAGAACTCATGTGACCACAAAAGGTCAACAACAACAATACCAAAAAGCCAGTTACAGCCCCGTTCCTGTGCCAGTTAAGAGAGAGAGAGAGAGAGTGAGAGAATGAGTGAGTGAGTGAGTGATTAAGTCCACTACGGGCTCACCATATTTCTGTGATGGAAGAAAACGCATGCATAGAGTTGGGGGACTTCTTTATTTGTTAAATAATAATAATAGTAATAATTATAAATATTATAATTAGAATAATATTTATAATAAACATTTATAATAATGATATTTATCATAATAGCATTTGCAGGCGATGAGTCACAATAACGTGGCTAAAGTATGATGACCAGACCACACACTAGAAGGTGAAGGGACGACGACGTTTCGGTCCGTCCTGGACCATTCTTAAGTCGATTGCGTGATGAGGAAGTAAAGACAAGCAAGATAACCTTATGTTCTAATGTTATAAAGTATGATGTTATTCCAAAATGTATTGCTTTGTCTAAGAAACAAGTCACACCACCATGGGAGGACTGTAACGCAGATGTAGTAATTATTCCCCTGCAAAAGCCAGCATTGGCTGTTTTTTGTTCACAGTAAATTTAAGTCGGTTGAGTTTTGTTGGGTTCCTAGCCATATTGGCGTGTCTTTAAATGAGCGTGCGGATGCTGCCGCCAGGGAAGCTGTCCGCTCTTGTCCCATCTCTCGTAAAGGTATTCCGTATTCCGACTTTTACCCGGTTATCCATTCCTCCATCCTTACCCGTTGGCAGGCTTCTTGGTCGTCTGTTACTGGTAACAAACTACGTACTCTTAAATGTTGTGTTTCCTCGTGGCCGTCCTCCTACCACCGTAACCGGCGATGGGAAACAGCTCTGGCGAGGTTGCTATTGGCCATATTCGCTTAACCCATGGTCACTTGATGGAGCGCCACCCTGCTCCTTATTGTCTAATTGCATTGTCCCTCTTACGGTCGTGCATGTCCTTCTTGAATGTCCTGACTTCCAGGACGAGCGTGTGCCTTGCTTTCCGACCGCCCCTCGCGGTCCCTCAATAGAATTCTTGGTGACTCGGATACTTTTGATATCGTTCGCCTTATGCGTTTTTGTTTTCGTATTGGCATCCTTGGTGATATTTAGCCCCCTCTGATTATTCCACACATTTGATGGTGCTACATTGCCTTCCCGGTTTGGTGCCTTCTTTTGATAATTACTTACTGTTTTTTCTTTTGCAGGGGAGTAAGTATGTATGAGATAGGAGAGTTGAGGGCAACATATGATTGTATAATTAGAAAATTCCCTACAGAAAACACTCTACATGTATATTGTGATGGGTCAGTAGCTAGGGATGGGAAGGCAGGATGTGGAGTCTTGATCAGGGAGTACACTGACATCGGCACTGTAGATACTGTTATTGGACGCCGCTTAACTGGCAATGTCTCTTCAACGCAGGCTGAACTCCAAGGTGTATTAACAGGATTACAGGAAGTAGTCAAATGTGGTAAAAATGCCTGCTTCTTTATTGACAGTAGAGGAGCGTTAGTCTTTAAATAGCAGACGCCCAGTATACCAGAATATTGTGATAGAGTGTAGAGAGAATGTTAAGAAATTAGAAAAAATGGGCATAAAGTAAGATTCATGTGGATCCATTCACATGTGGGAATACTGTTGAATGAGGTAGTTGATGAGATAGCGAAGAGAGCCACGGAAAAAACTCTTGTTGATGTTGTATGTCAGATAATCTTGAAACATATAAAAACAAAAATCAAGATGATCCAAGAGGGGAAGAAATGGTAAAGAGAATGGCAATGGTGGACAGTAGTTACACACTTAAGAATTATTCAATAATAAATACAAACTTGTCCTTCACCTGTGGCAGATGAAAGTCTACTTGGAAGGATTCAATTTACATGACATTAAGATTAGGATACAAATATATCTGGCAATATGGTGTTGATGTCAGCGAAAAAGATAAGGAGTGTAAATTATGCAGTATGCCGCACGCCCACACCTTAGATCATTATGTATTAGTGTCAACTTATTGATAACTATAGAAATAAGGAAATAAGTAGTGTACCACATCAAATTGTTTGGATGTGTGATAATGGTATAACATGTGCCATGTTATACATGTGCCATGTTATAACACATGTGCCTACATGTGTTTGTAGGATCGAGAATTAGCCCTATAGGGTCAATTAGAAAAAGAAAAATTACTTTTCAACTTTTGGTCACTGCAATTCAGGTTTTTTTAGCCCTGACATTTTCATATTTTGTTGCATTAAGTTCATATTATGTTCTTATATTTTGATGTTTTATACCTTTGTGTTTACATATTTAATAAGACATAGTAAGTAATTATTAAAAGAAGGCACCAAGCCGGGAAGGCTACGTAGCACCATCAAATGTGCAGAATAATCATAGGGCGCTAAATATCACTCAGGATGCCAATATTTGCTAAGTCATAGACGACAAATATATAAGAATAATTTCTAGGGAAAAATATATTTTCCCATTATATATTCTTGGGCTTTTAATAATACTTATTATTAAAGTGTGTACTTTTAAAATCTGTTTATAAGTTTTGTAAACAATACAGTACAGTGTGACTTGAATGATGCTTATGTGTCTTTCATTTTATATTTCATTCACTTAAGCCATCAGAACCTTAAATTCATGACCACTGAAGGAAGGAAACTATCAGGAGAAAGTACCACGCCATAACTATACAGGAACTCTACCGACCTGGCTACAAACACCCACAATAAGAGAGGGTTCTAGAGACTACTGGTATCCAACTGGGACTTTCAATCTCCTGGGTTGTCACTAGAGTCTGGATGTATTAGGTGACCCACGTGCCAGTCAAATAAATTGTAAATCACAATAAACATGTAAATAACATTTAATTCACTTGCACCACCAGAGCAAATTAAGTATCACTGAAGAGGAAGACAGGAGCTCTACTGACCTATAAACACCTACAATAAGAATTGGTCCGAGACACACACTGGTGTCTCTGGGACACATTCATGTGCACCATCAGAGCCAAAAAATCAGTTTATAGTGTCAATATACAGAATAATGTACAGTATCATTATACAAAAAAGTCCAGAAAATCTAGATTTCTAGAGCATTAAAATTGGGTTTGGAGTAATATGATCAGATTTTGGGTGTGCATTATATAGAGTTCAGCCTTGATAAAACAAAGATCCCCATCTTAACGACGTGCAAAACAGTACATAGTGGTTAGTAAAGGAATCTTTAAAGAGCTGCATAAAACTCAGTAACATTTATTAGATAAATTAATCCAGTACTAAATAAAAATATCAAATTTTTACAATGTACTTTACTCAACATTAATATACAAAATGTAACCAATTTTACAACTTCACTTGCATCTGTTATAGCACACAACACGGTGACACATTCAGATGAACATTTACATTTTCTTTAAAACATTTCATAACATAGTCCAAATCAAATTATTGGAATCTCAACCTTTAGATGATCTTCACTGTCAAACCTTTCATACCCTTATATAAGAATCTTTATAATTTACAAACAATTTCTTAAATTAGAAATGAGTGTTTACACTAGAAATTGTAAACAGTGCCTACTTTTTATCAGGATTAGCTCCCATTTGAGTAGGATCTTGTGAAGGATAGTGGATAATACCATGGGTGAGGGGAGGTGGTGGCCCAACACCTGGGATAGGTGGTGGCTGCGGAAAGTATGCAGGGGGACGAACCCCTGGAGGAGGGCGCAAGGGTGCACGAAGATGAGGAGGAAAGAATGGAGGAGGCTGTAAAGGTGGCAAATGGCCTGGAGGCGCTGGAGGCACACCTGGAGGAGGACGAGGACCAAGAGGGGTACCCAAAGGAGGAGGCCCTCCAGGAAGACTACCAGGAGGAGGGGCAGGAGGTCTAGGTGGGGCATGACCTGGAGGCATTGGAGGTCGTATTGTTGGAGCACCAGCAGCTGGAGGAGCCTGGCCTGGAGGCAACGGTATGCTTGCAGCTGTTGAAGGTAAATTGAAAAAGTTATTGTGCAATTCTTCAGGTGGCGGAGGAAGTGTTGGAAGGCCAGGTACAGGTTCGAGAGGTTGAGGAGCAGTATCGTCACCTTCAAGATCCTCAATACCACCAATACCTACTCCTCCTTGTCTAGCTTGTGATCGTCCCCACTTAATATTAAGGCGTCGACCCTGTATAATGAGCTTGTTAAAAGTACGTTCAGCTGCTAGCTCTGCAGCAGACCGAGTAGTAAACTGGACAAATGCATACTGCTGTTTAGCCACAACATTTACACTACGTAGTTCACCATACTGATAAAAGTGGTCTCTCAGTTCTTTTTCACCAATCCTATCACCCAAATTACCTACATACAGAGTAGTAATAGATTTATCTTCAGGGGGCTCAAGTCTTGGCATTGCTGCTGCCCTCTTAAGAAGTTTGTCAGCAACAGGATCATTAACACCATAATAACGATCTTTAATATTCTGATCGGCTAGAGGATCATCAGGGTCAGTAGGCTTTTCATGTCGATAAGGACATTCTTCTCCTCTCTTACATTCCCCTTTGACCCAAAATGAGCAAATATGTGGCCTGTTTCGCTTATAGTATGGAGTTGTACGTGCTAAGCGAAGGAGCATTTCTGAGTGCGACTTGGTTTTCCCTAATGCCCCTCCTGCTGTACTGCCATCTGATGAAGCTGCCATTTGTCTCTCCATGTTCTGGATATAGTATTCCTTGTTGACTTCACTCTTTGGCATATCATCAGTCAAGCTGAGGGCAGAGTCTCGTACCTGTAATAAATACAACCATAAATTTACCAAGTGCATAAGGACTGCCCTAAATACATCTAGCTTGATGCAAGGTTAGATCAAGCCCATTCTGGTTCCTGGGCCTATACCAAGTTGTAACATCACAAGAGTGAGAGAGTGTCAGTATAAAACAAAATAAAAAATTGTAATTAATAGAAGTGAAAAACACACAACTAATTCAAATGGTGCATGTTACTAAAGACTTACCTGTGTAGGAAGACCATACTCAAGGTCTAACAAGCAGGTCTGACAAACATTCTTAATCTTAGCACAAGTCTGGCATACTTCTGTCTTTTTGAATCTCATTCGTGCACCAGGGCACCTGAAAATATTTATAATTTATGTTAATTATTATACGTACAAACAATTTGATCATATTTTAACACTGAAGCATTGATGTTTATGCTTCAGTTAAACATTTATCCATAAGCCTTGTAATTAGACAAGAGGTATCCCTCGTCCCTACTGCAGAAATATTATTGCAAACTATTATCTGAATTAGTATTCTCGAAAACAAAACCGAGCATGGATGGTGTGGGGAGTGGATGGAATAAATTGAATTACTGTATGTAGTTATACTGTTAATTGATATACAAGGATCCCTCATGTGGATCCATTGTTATTTTTGTCAAAGGAAAGTCTAGATGCTAAGAGGAACGTCGGCAAGCACAAATGCATCTTGGCAGGACAACTCTCTAGATAACTGCTGGCATGGAAAGTGCAGCTAAAAATTTGAAAAGAAAGCCAACTAATATGAAAATATAGGGTTCTGAAAAGCAAACAAGATGACTTGTTAGCACAGGAAATATCCATTCTGAAGTGGTGTCCTATTACCACACACTTATAACTCCCACCATGCAAACCTCACTCAGGCCATTTTGATTGCAGGAAAAAAGGATTGCTTGTGGGGGTTAGTGCCTTAACATCTTTGGCGGATGACCATTGCATCACTAAATTACACAAGATTCTGAATGTCGTACACCGTTTGCAATGATGAGGATCCTAGTGCCCAGTTGCAGTCAGAGAAGAACCAAAAAGGAGTAATTGTTCAAGATTATTTGCTGATCCAACAGCATCTTTTGATGCCAGATGCTGGTTATCAGAACACCTGTGGCTTAGCATCAAGGTATGATTATACAAGTTAAAAAAAAAAACAATAAAACAGTTGTGTTGTAAATGATGATGCGAAGGGCTGTGCCAAGAATTGTGGCAACTTTTAAATAACATGTAACAGTGACAGTAAATTTAAAATGAACAAACTGCAGTGGTGGAGGCAAACTCCTTTTAAAGCTTCAAATGTAGAAATGACAAGAGACCAAATGGGCTTGGGAACCTGGAAGACTCACAGGTTCCTTAAAAATTGCATATAGTGCTCCACTGCACAAGAAGGGTTGCAAGTCATTGGCTAAGATTTACAGACTGGTTACACAAACATTAAATTAAATTTTAGATTACATTAAATTTTTTGTAGAGGGTGCCACGAAAACTTACAAGTATTATTGAAAAGAACAAGCAATCCAGGTCAACATGGTTTTAATGCAGGAAGATGTTGGTTTTCACAACTACTTCAGCATCATCCTAAAGGATTTTTTCAGTTTTATCGAACAAAGATAAGGGAAAGGATAGGTCCATTAAAAACCGTGATAGGTCAGATAACGGATAATGACGAAGAGAGTAGTAGTATTTTTAATAAATATTTTATCTCTGTATTTACTAAAGAAGAACTTAACTCTATGCCTTCAGCCAAACAAGTCTATGTGGGTGGGGACAAGGACAGGTTGACTAGTCTAACAGTTACTAGGGATGATGATATTAAATAGTGAAACTCAAACTAAACAAATCCCCAGGACCGGATGAAGTGTTTGCCAGGGTGCTTAGTTGCATCATGGAGCATGGACCATGGAGCAATAACCAAATAAAATGAAAGCCAAGGGAAAAGCAGGTATAGTAGCAAGATGAATTTTATATTTTCTAACAGACTATAAAGAATGATAGAACAGGAAATAAAAATATTGCAAGTCCAGCTCGAGTACGGTCGACAGCTCGGTCACACAAGGTACCGTTCCCTCACCACTACTCGTTTTTCTCACCCAAATAACATAGAAGATAGAAAGGGATACAAGCCAATGAGTATGGAAATTTAAACAATGGACGTCACAGAAAAACTGCAATCAAATATTAACAAGGTCTTTCCAATGAGCAACAAAACAATAATGTGGCCCCTGTGGCCACAAAGAAAACTAGCCTTATAAACAGGTAATCAACAAGAAATTCTGGCCTCTAGTCAAGTTGCAATATCACTCCTAAAATTATCCACAGGTAATCCATACAAGACATGCCCAAAATGTGCATTGTGTATTATTGGCTTTATGCAATGTACTTTCTTACCTATACAGTATATATGTTCCTTTGTTCATGTATCATAATTCCATCATATACTGTATCTATAATATGTACACATGTGCAAATAAATTCATATTATTATTATCATTATTATTAATGAAAGGTCAAGAATTGAGACCCAAGAGATGATGCTCAACCCCTTCAGATGAAAACACAAACATGGGCTCTTACACTCAGGTTTTATAATAAAGTATAATATATTTTAAAATAACAGTACATTGGAGTATTTTGCTCAAGAAAAGTACAAATTTAAATACTGAACAGAATGAATTAAAATACCCACCACCTAAAGACTGTGAAGGGACGGGTGCAGATCTTACATTCCTTCCCATATCTATCACGCATCATCCTAACATAAGGATTATCCCCGAGACACGTCTGGCATAGAATTGGAAAGTCCTGTGGAAGAAAATAATGTTATAGGTAAAAAATATAAAAACACCATACTGTACATTGAAAGAACTTTATACTGTATTTACATACAGTATACGAGAGATGCACAAAGTATGAAACAAGTAGTATAAAAATTGTACATACGACTTCAACTTCTGACAACCATTTGCTTGAGTACCCGGTAGTAATTTGGGGGGGGCCTCAATGAAAAGCATTTAGTAGACTGTGCTCTGGGGTAAACAGGAAGGGCTAGAGTAATGCTTCAAATGAACTATGAGAGTGCCTAATCAACTCTCCCTGACCTGGACTGGAACCCCTATGAAATCACTTCTAAATTCTATAAGTTTTAAAAATAAATAAAAGTGAAAGGGTGAGCAGCAGACTTCATGCATAGCTTCAATTATAATTATGACACTAAAGAATATTAGTGTTACAATTCCTGAACCCATTATGGAACTTTATAACATTTGCAAGGCCTACCGAGGTGTTCCCCCAGCTGAGCACGAGGCTGCCCAGGTGATAACTACCCAGAGCTGACTTAACACAATTGACTAATGTGCACATCACCCAAACCAGAAAATTTGCAACATTTATATATATATAGACTACTATATTCCCCAAAGGATGAGCATGTTCTCAATACAAAAACTAAATACAATACCTGCCCAAAACGCTATGTGTGCTAGTGGTTTTACAAGAATGTAAAACTTCAAGTCTCTGTACTCTAATAGACCCAATGTACCTTCTTGTATATAAATAAAATACAAGCTATTGATTAAGCCACTACAAGATTTTAAGGGTATACAGCATAACTTAATATATATGTCATACCTAGTAGCCTGAATGCAGTTCTCAGCCTACTATGCACGGCCCGATTTGCCTAATAGGCCGAGTGATTTTCTTTATTTTCAATAATTTTTTTCCAAATAGTTTATTTGAATTATTATTATTATTTTATATTAGGATATAATTTATTGACTTAGTTGTCTTAGTTTACGTTAGGTTAAGATAGGTTAGTTCGGTCATATACTGTATCTACATTAGTTTTAACTAAAAATTTAAGCAAATTATGTTATACATATTGAAATGGGCAGATTTATCATTTCATAAGAAAAAATTTGGAAAAATATATAATTACAGGAAAACTTCGATTAGGCAAATCGGGCCTTGCATAGTATGCCAAGTACGACGTTCTGGCTACTAGGTACATATATATATATATATATATATATATATATATATATATATATATATAATATATATATATATATATATATATATATATATATATATATATATATATATATATGTAAAATATATATAATATATAAGCTGGTCAGGAAGGGTTGACTGGGCACCAATCCTTAACTGTTCATCCTGTACACTTGGAATATGTGAAATTACCGTGTGTACGATTTTACCACGCCACATGGGATCAGTAATAAATGAATTAAGAAAAAACACACAAATCTAGCCCTACCTAGTCAAACTAATGGCAAAGTAGAATGCATATTGCACTCTATAAAAGCAAAACAATTACAAAATACCAGTATACAGTCATCAAAATAGATAAATACTGAGGAAGTGGAGTGCGAAAAATCAGTGTACGACAGGACCGTCCCGGGGCCCCACACCTTCTCCTCCTACAGTAGTCTCTCTCCACATTACTCATCACCACCACTACACTACCCCTGCACCCTTCACACCAAGTACGGGCACCAGCAGGCGCCATACTCACCGAATCTTCCCAATTCTGCCGGTTGTAAGTGTTTGTAGACTTAGACATCGCCATGTTTACCAGCGTTGTTGTGTGTGTGTGTGTGTGTGTCAGGGTTGCCAGCTCCAAATTGCTGAAAAGTAGCGAGCGGACGGTCTAAAAGTAGCGAATTGGTAATAAGAGTAGCCCAGTTTTATATATATAAGGAAATGTAGATGTTTATCTCTCAGAATGTTTGGTATTATGTTTATTGTTTGTGATGTGTGTATATGTATGTATTAACACGATGTACTGAACGGGATGAGAATAGCTTGAGCTACCTCATCACTTTGTGTGTATTTAACCTCAATAAACTTATTTCAATTTATATATATATATATATATATATATATATATATATATATATATATATATATATATATATATATATATATATATAGAAGCACAACCATACACGAACCGAAGCCCAACCATGCACAACCCACAGCCCAAGTGACACCCCCGAGCCCGACCCGACCAGTTATTTAACCGGAGCCCGACCAGTTGTGTAACCGAAGCTCGACCAGTTGTGTAACCAGACCCCGACCAGTTGTCTAACCTTAAGCCTAGCAAGTATACATCTCATCCAACCCCACAAAGCTAAACAGTCCCAGAGCACAACCAAGCTCCATTCCTAGCTCGACCAAACAAAAATCTCATTAGCCCTACCTAAAATCCTCCACTTGCCCTAGACACCAACTATTGACCCATAACAAACAATTGAACTATATACCAAAAAAGAAACCCGGATTTCTAGCAAACATATAAACATAGAGCCTTAGCAAACAAACCTGGAGCACTAGTACACAACCGCTGAAGCACAACCATGCACGAACCGAAGCCTGACCATGCACAACCCACAGCCCCAGTGACACCCCCGGAGCCCGACCAGTTAATATAACCGGAGCCCGACCAGTTATTTAACCGGAGCCCGACCAGTTATTTAACCGGAGCCCGACCAGTTGTGTAACCGAAGCTCGACCAGTTGTGTAACCAGTTGTGTAACCCCCCGACCAGTTGTCTAACCTTAAGCCTAGCAAGTATACATCTCATCCAACCCCCACAAAGCTAAACAGTCCCAGAGCACAACCAAGCTCCATTCCTAGCTCGACCAAACAAAAATCTCATTAGCCCTACCTAAAATCCTCCACTTGCCCTAGACACCAACTATTGACCCATAGCAAACAATTGAACTATATACAAAAAAAGAAACCCGGATTTCTAGCAAACATATAAACATAGAGCCTTAGCAAACAAACCTGGAGCACTAGTACACAAACAACCGCTGAAGCACAACCATGCACGAACCGAAGCCTGACCATGCACAACCCACAGCCCCAGTGACACCCCCGGAGCCCGACCAGTTAATATAACCGGAGCCCGACCAGTTATTTAACCGGAGCCCGACCAGTTATTTAACCGGAGCCCGACCAGTTGTGTAACCGAAGCTCGACCAGTTGTGTAACCAGACCCCGACCAGTTGTCTAACCTTAAGCCTAGCAAGTATACATCTCATCCAACCCCCACAAAGCTAAACAGTCCCAGAGCACAACCAAGCTCCATTCCTAGCTCGACCAAACAAAGATCTCATTAGCCCTACCTAAAATCCTCCACTTGCCCTAGACACCAACTATTGACCCATAGCAAACAATTGAGCTATATACAAAAAAAGAAACCCGGATTTCTAGCAAACATATAAACATAGAGCCTTAGCAAACAAACCTGGAGCACTAGTACACAAACAACCGCTGAAGCACAACCATGCACGAACCGAAGCCTGACCATGCACAACCCACAGCCCCAGTGACACCCCCGGAGCCCGACCAGTTAATATAACCGGAGCCCGACCAGTTATTTAACCGGAGCCCGACCAGTTGTGTAACCGGAGCTTGACCAGTTGTGTAACCTAAGCTCGACCAGTTGTGTAACCAGACCCCGACCAGTTGTGTAACCTTAAGCCTATCAAGTATACATCTCATCCAACCCCCACAAAGCTAAACAGTCCCAGAGCACAACCAAGCTCCATTCCTAGCTTGACCAAACAAAAATCTCATTAGCCCTACCTAAAATCCTCCACTTGCCCTAGACACCAACTATTGACCCATAGCAAACAATTGAACTATATACAAAAAAAGAAACCCGGATTTCTAGCAAACATATAAACATAGAGCCTTAGCAAACAAACCTGGAGCACTAGTACACAAACAACCGCTGAAGCACAACCATGCACGAACCGAAGCCTGACCATGCACAACCCACAGCCCCAGTGACACCCCCGGAGCCCGACCAGTTAATATAACCGGAGCCCGACCAGTTATTTAACCGGAGCCCGACCAGTTATTTAACCGGAGCCCGACCAGTTGTGTAACCGAAGCTCGACCAGTTGTGTAACCAGACCCCGACCAGTTGTCTAACCTTAAGCCTAGCAAGTATACATCTCATCCAACCCCCACAAAGCTAAACAGTCCCAGAGCACAACCAAGCTCCATTCCTAGCTCGACCAAACAAAGATCTCATTAGCCCTACCTAAAATCCTCCACTTGCCCTAGACACCAACTATTGACCCATAGCAAACAATTGAACTATATACAAAAAAAGAAACCCGGATTTCTAGCAAACATATAAACATAGAGCCTTAGCAAACAAACCTGGAGCACTAGTACACAAACAACCGCTGAAGCACAACCATGCACGAACCGAAGCCTGACCATGCACAACCCACAGCCCCAGTGACACCCCCGGAGCCCGACCAGTTAATATAACCGGAGCCCGACCAGTTATTTAACCGGAGCCCGACCAGTTATTTAACCGGAGCCCGACCAGTTGTGTAACCGAAGCTCGACCAGTTGTGTAACCAGACCCCGACCAGTTGTCTAACCTTAAGCCTAGCAAGTATACATCTCATCCAACCCCCACAAAGCTAAACAGTCCCAGAGCACAACCAAGCTCCATTCCTAGCTCGACCAAACAAAGATCTCATTAGCCCTACCTAAAATCCTCCACTTGCCCTAGACACCAACTATTGACCCATAGCAAACAATTGAACTATATACAAAAAAAGAAACCCGGATTTCTAGCAAACATATAAACATAGAGCCTTAGCAAACAAACCTGGAGCACTAGTACACAAACAACCGCTGAAGCACAACCATGCACGAACCGAAGCCTGACCATGCACAACCCACAGCCCCAGTGACACCCCCGGAGCCCGACCAGTTAATATAACCGGAGCCCGACCAGTTATTTAACCGGAGCCCGACCAGTTATTTAACCGGAGCCCGACCAGTTGTGTAACCGAAGCTCGACCAGTTGTGTAACCAGACCCCGACCAGTTGTCTAACCTTAAGCCTAGCAAGTATACATCTCATCCAACCCCCACAAAGCTAAACAGTCCCAGAGCACAACCAAGCTCCATTCCTAGCTCGACCAAACAAAGATCTCATTAGCCCTACCTAAAATCCTCCACTTGCCCTAGACACCAACTATTGACCCATAGCAAACAATTGAACTATATACAAAAAAAGAAACCGGATTTCTAGCAAACATATAAACATAGAGCCTTAGCAAACAAACCTGGAGCACTAGTACACAAACAACCGCTGAAGCACAACCATGCACGAACCGAAGCCTGACCATGCACAACCCACAGCCCCAGTGACACCCCCGGAGCCCGACCAGTTAATATAACCGGAGCCCGACCAGTTATTTAACCGGAGCCCGACCAGTTATTTAACCGGAGCCCGACCAGTTGTGTAACCGAAGCTCGACCAGTTGTGTAACCAGACCCCGACCAGTTGTCTAACCTTAAGCCTAGCAAGTATACATCTCATCCAACCCCCACAAAGCTAAACAGTCCCAGAGCACAACCAAGCTCCATTCCTAGCTCGACCAAACAAAGATCTCATTAGCCCTACCTAAAATCCTCCACTTGCCCTAGACACCAACTATTGACCCATAGCAAACAATTGAACTATATACAAAAAAAGAAACCCGGATTTCTAGCAAACATATAAACATAGAGCCTTAGCAAACAAACCTGGAGCACTAGTACAAACAACCGCTGAAGCACAACCATGCACGAACCGAAGCCTGACCATGCACAACCCACAGCCCCAGTGACACCCCCGGAGCCCGACCAGTTAATATAACCGGAGCCCGACCAGTTATTTAACCGGAGCCCGACCAGTTATTTAACCGGAGCCCGACCAGTTGTGTAACCGAAGCTCGACCACCAGTTGTGTAACCAGACCCCGACCAGTTGTGTAACCAGACCCCGACCAATAAGCCTAGCAAGTATACATCTCATCCAACCCCCAAAGCTAAACAGTCCCAGAGCACAACAAAGCTCCATTCCTAGCTCGACCAAACAAAGATCTCATTAGCCCTACCTAAAATCCTCCACTTGCCCTAGACACCAACTATTGACCCATAGCAAACAATTGAACTATATACAAAAAAAGAAACCCGGATTTCTAGCAAACATATAAACATAGAGCCTTAGCAAACAAACCTGGAGCACTAGTACACAAACAACCGCTGAAGCACAACCATGCACGAACCGAAGCCTGACCATGCACAACCCACAGCCCCAGTGACACCCCCGGAGCCCGACCAGTTAATATAACCGGAGCCCGACCAGTTATTTAACCGGAGCCCGACCAGTTATTTAACCGGAGCCCGACCAGTTGTGTAACCGAACCGGAGCCCGACCAGTTGTGTAAGCGCAAGCCTAGTGTTGTGTAAACCCGACTAGTTGTGTAAACGGAGCCTGACCAGTTGTGTAACCGGACCCCGACCAGTTGTGTAACCGCACGCCTAGGTCTACTTAGACTGTAGCTGGTGCGCCCCCACAAGAATTATTGCATCCAGGCATGGAGACCTCATCTTCAGAAAGACATATGGCTCCAGAGCAGATGTCTTACCAAAGCTATGGAGCTGTCTTACGACAATCATACCAGAGCTTAGTCATCTGTTTTATTAGGAACGGTTGAGGGCCACAGGGCTAACAACACCACAAACCAGGCATCTTCATAGAAACAAAATACATAGAATGTCGATCAGGACAATGTCTTCAGGTCATCTGTTTTTTCACCCACAGTAAACCAGTCAGGAACGTAAACGCCAAACCTTGAGCTGGCCACAGGGCTAACACCATCAAAGTATTAGTGGCCCTCAGGTATTCACCCGGACGTCCCCGCTCCTTCCTGTTGGGAAGTTGTTCCTCTAAATCATACTATCATGCAAGAGGAGCCACACATAATATCAGCAGACTTCTAGATATTACTACTGTTCGGCTTTGACTCTGCTACAAGTATTTCTGGGAATTCTCATTATCTGCTGATGTAGACCTGACCAAATGTAAATTGTGTATCAAGAGTGTAACTTGCTTAGCTAAATGAATTGTGGGGTTCAGTCCCGAGCCCATTATGTGCCTCAACCCTTTCCACTACCACCCACAAGATGGGTATGGGGTGCATAATAAATGAGCTAAACTAAACTATTGCAGTATTTGTACATTGGACTGTCGCTTGTCACTAAACTTAGTTGTTAACTATTAACTTGATGAAATAATATTACCTTATACGCGAGAATAATTCTGAATACACAGCGATAAAATTGATGAATGCGGCTTTGGGTCGGGCGGCCGCGTATGGGAGCCTGGCCTGAGGACAGGCAACTGTAAATGCTTCTCCCTCCACATACTTCAAATGCAAATAATTGCCAACAGAACCTAAATACCGAACCTACTATACGCCTAATTAATTAAAGAATATAAAATTAATTTATACTCGATAAAAACTTTTTAATACACAGTACATGAAAGTCGATAATATATGCGTCTTGGGATGTGGGGGAGACGACCGCCGCGTTAACGAGCCTAGCCTGACGACGGGGTAGTTTAACAATGGGGAAGTGTATTCTACATAATATCCTACCCATATAATGTTGGCAAAACATGATCCTCAAAATCTTCCACAATATCCGAGAGAGGACAGACTATTTAGCATTAGTGGAATACAAACATTTGAATACTACAGAACCCGGATGAAAAAAAATACGGAAACAATAACCCTCGGAGACATTACAAAACTCAATGTTATAATAGCGAACAAATGTATAATGCATGAAGCATTGTAGGTGGAGGTAGACTATACATTCATGCGTACCTCCCAACTGCTCAGATATATTTACAACAACAACAACAAAAAAATTATCACCCTTACTACGGGAGCGACGCACCACACGCCACCGCTGCTTCTTGACGACTGACGGGGTCGGCATCGATGACCCGGTCACCCGCACGCGACCAACCGACCCAGAGACCCTCGGCCTAAATTTATTTGAACGCCATTATTCAAATTAAAAAAATTGAAATTCCTAGCATATAGCGCCAGGAATGTGTAAATTAATATTTATATTCATTATAGGCCTTTCTAAAGTAATTTATAGATCTGAATATCAAATATTGTCTAACAAACGAATTATTTAAGATTTTAATTGTGCCAGTTACAATTAAGTCTCATATCGCACACAAGAAGATTCGTCAGCGGATTTTTTTTTTTTTTTTATTTATATATAAAAAAGGTTTTTAAATTCTTGTAAAGCCACTAGCACGCATAGCGTTTCGGCCAGGTTCTTAATCCTAATTTTTCCCCGGAGTATGACCCGCCAAATCGTTTAACAACCTATTCTCTGCTGGGTGAACAGTTAAGGATTGGCGCCCGGTCAATCCTTCCCGGCCAGGATACGAACCCAGGTCAAAGGGCTGGCGAAGAGCCGGGCGCGTGCTTTACCACTGCGCCACAGAGACTGCTCCGTGGCGTAGTGGAATTTTGAATTTTGAAACCTGACTAACCTAGCTCAACCCAACCTAACGTAACCCAAATCAAACCAATCTAATCCAACCGAGCCCAATGCAGCCTAACCTTAATAACATAACCTAATACAGCCTAGCATAACAATACATCCGGATTTAAAACAGAAAATGAGTTTAGCCGAATCGTCTCGTGTCCGAGTGTAACCAGAACCCGACCAGTTGTGTACCTATACTGACCTAGCAAACAAACACCTGCAGACGAGGAGTCTCAATAACGTGGCTGAAATATGTTGACCAAACCACACACTAGAAAGTGAAGGGACGACGACGTTTCGGTCCGTTCTGGACCATTCTCAAGTCGATTGTGAGAATGCACAATTGACTTGAGAATGGTCCAGGACGGACCGAAACGTCGTCGTCCCTTCACTTTCTAGTGTGTGGTTTGGTCAACAAACACCCTCCTAACTCTACCAAGCACACTGAGAGCCGTACCAAAGTAGGGAGGGTCCACAGACGAGAACGTTGTTGTAAGTATAGGTCCGCAGACATATGGGCCCCCAGTGCCCATCATCTGGGTTGGAGGGCAACAGTGTATTGCTTTGCTCAGAGAGTATAATGTTGCTAACACAGCACTGCCTTCAATATGCAAACTTTTCAGGATTATTTAATTAACTAAGATTTACCTGAATTTACCAGAGGGTCACTATCTCAGTGAGGATAGAAAGCCGGCGGCTTGTCAAATGTCGAGCAATGTTTTATCATTTACGGCTACGTCGAGAAGATGGTTCCATGGTTTTGCTGAATTTACTCGAGGGTGGCCCTCGGGCAAATTCAGGTATCTCTCTCTGGTGGTCTCGACGAGGACAGGAAGGTTGTCTGGCTTGTCGAAGGCTCCTCCCATTTGTTTTGGGGCCAAACAAATGCCAATGTTTTGGCATTTACGGCTTCGGCGGGTATGCGTTTCCACAACTGTATAATTCTATAGGAGAAAACAAATATTTTCCATCCTTCAGTGTGGCTGGTTGAGTTAGTGAGGTGAGCTCGAAACCGTTGCTCCTTGTTGGTCTTACATCTAGCCTTTTGAAGAAGTGTTCTGGGTCAATATCTTCCAAATTATTCAGTAATTTAAATGTTTTGCTGAGAGCAGCCCTGTCATGTCTGGTCCTTGTGGCCCTCAACCGTCCCTGGTATGAAAGTCGACTTAGTTCGGAAAAGATTTTAGTCGCCCGGTGTTGAACTTTCTCCAAAGCAGATATGTCTTTCTGAAGATGAGGTCTCAATGCGTGGATATAATAATCCAAGTGGAAGCACACCAGAGATTTATACAGTTGTATAACTACCTTTTCCTTCGTCAAAATTTCGTTTGACTATTCCAAAGGATTTGGTTTGCTTTTATAACTGCAGCTTCCACTTGTTGTACAACTATCAGTGATTGGTGGATTCTGACTCCAAGATAATGTTGATGATTTGGTAGTTGTGCATTGTTATGCCCCACGTGGGTGAAAAAAATCTCCTGTTTTCTGTCCTAAGTTGTGGCTTGTTGAACTTGAAATCGTTGTTCCTTGTTTGTGATTGATTGATGAAGATTAAGCTACCCAAGAGGTGGCACGGGCATGAATAGCCCGTAAGTGGAAGATTTTTTGAGTGAATGTGATCTTTGGTCGTAAAAGGATATACTGCGTGCTGTGCTCGCATTTAAATTGTCAGTCTATGGCTGTTATCGCAGGGTGCTTGTTTCTGTTGCATCTGACCATAAATAATCATTGAGTTGCTTAATATTAATAGCCAAAAGTAGCCCAATCTCCCTTCCCCCTCCTCCTCACGCAACACCCATATGAGAGAAAAATCCTCCTCGTATTATTGAAATACGGCCCTCTCAATCCAAATTATGGTGAAATAAGGGGAGATGATTTGAAGTTGGCGGGGGGTGACGTGGGCGAGGGCCAGCCAATAGGGCGCGAGTGTTGCTCTCGCCTGGCCTCTGGGCTCCTGTTATGGCCGCCAAAACGAAGCTGCGGTAGCCCGTCTCTCCACACAACCACGCTCTTATCCCTCACTGTCAAGTTGTAAGGTGGGTTGCGGCTGTTCCCCTGTCGCCGTGGGCGGCGGGGATCGGCGGGCAGCGGGGGGAAAATGATTTCTTGGGCGCGGGGAAGGTTGTTGGCAACACCATTGTTGTTGGTGGCCGAGGTTGTGAGGCGCGTCGTCGTCGTCGCCGCCGCCGCCACTCTCCTCCTAGCTCCTTATTGTCCTCCTCGGCCTCTCTCTCTCCTCTTGGCTCCTGGGGCCCTCTTGGGCTCGAGTGGCCACCTGGTCCTGCTGTGTTCTTTGGCCACTTTGTCTTCTGTTGGTTTCTGTGTCCTCTTGGGGGTCCCCCTGTGTTCTCTTTTAGCCTTCTGTGTTATCTTGGCCCCCTCAGTGTTTTCTTGGCTCCAGTGTCCTCTTGGCCTCCTATGCTCTCTTTATTCCCCTGTGTCCTCTAGTCAGCCTGCATTCTTTTGGCCTCCTGTGCTCTCTTTATCCCTCTCGTGTCCTCTAGTCATCCTGCATTCTCTTGGCCCCCTGTGTTTTCTTGGCCACCCTTCATTCTCCTGGCCCCCTTGTGTTCTCTTGGCCCTTCCCGCATTCTCCTGGTCCCCTCCTGCATTCTCTTGGCCTCGCTGCAATGATCTTATTCCCCCTGTGTCCTCTTGGCTTTCCTGTGTTCTCATGTTCCCCAGGGCCCCTGTGTCCTCAACCATGATCTGTCATAATGACTGATTAATTTTTAGATACTTTTAGTAATTCCTTTAAATACTCACACTATGAAATACATCCATAAGATTTAGAAATACTGTACATTATGCCATGATAGGTACCTCATACTTGCTGAATTGCGCTTAATGGAGTTGAGGTTGTTATTTGGTCCCATCTCTTGATCTTCAATGAACATAATAAAGGGAACTGCAAAAGACCTATTGGGCCATGCAAATACATCTATTTAAACTCCAAGCTCAAATATGTCTTGACCCCTGCTTGAAACCGTCAAGTGGTCCCACATCTATTATATTGATGATCTGTTCCATAAATCAACATTGCATTTGGACAGTCATATTTACATTTGAAGCTGTGTATGGAACTGACTCCACTACTTACCCGAGTGCATGCCATTTGTGTACTGTTTGAACGTGAGAAATTCTTTTTCATGTTGCCTGTACTGTGACTTGTATGTGTATTGGTTTCCACTTTGTATACCCCTCTCTTTCTCAAGACGTTTGTATGCTGTAATATTGTATCTTTCTCTAAATCCCCTTGTCTTCCACTGCTGTGAGGCTTAATTGTGTTTCCTCAGAATCATTCCTCTAAGCTCTGGTACTTGTCAAGTGACATACATTAATTCAATGTTCTACTACTATTACTTTTTGTATATAACAAGGCCTCCATGCTTTTGGCATATGACATGATGGGTCTGTCATGTGATGTATAAAAGGTACAAAATGAATGTATGGTATTCAGATTTTTCAAAGTTTTTATGTTGGCCAACTTTGCATATGATGTGATGTCCATTTTACATTGGGTTCGGTGTGATATTAATTTTAGTTTTTCTTTGTCCGAATGTAGGACGACTACCTTCCTACATCTACAAATGCAGCTTTAGAAAAGCTACATTTGCCACTTGTTGGACCATTCATTTGGTTTAAGATCCTCTGTAGCTTTTCATGACCTTATTTATCCTTATTATTTTTCCCCTGTCAGAAAACATCTAGAGGAAGAAATGTCTATTTGGGAGATCATTTAGTCTGCACTGTATAGATCAGTATAGTATTACAATATATTAAGATTGGCCTTTATATTGACCCTTTACAAAGCTTTGACCTCTGAGATATCAGTGGTAATATTTGACATTATGACACTTTCTGTCCAACCCTTTTGTACAACTACAGTAGTATCCTAGTCTCGTGTGGGAAACTGTGTTGAAGGCTGCCTCTTGCTCCAAAATACTGTATGCACTCTGCCTGTCCTCTGTTGCCATGTCATGGAATTCTGTAAAGTTCTGTGAAGTAAGATTTGCTACTTTTAAACCCAGGCAGGTATTGTTTTCAAAATTCTTAATCTTACCCATGTTAGACCTCATTTAAAGAAGCCTAGTTGATGGAGTTTAGTATTGGGCACAAATCAACCTGAAAGTGTATCGAGACATATGGTTATTTTTTAACATTATAGTAATTGAAACATTACTTAGGAGGTGGAGTTATATAGAAACATGACTTAGGAGGAGTTAAGAAAGCTTAACTTACACTCTGTAGAAAGGTGAAGAATGATGGGGGGACATGATTGATAGTATGCAAATACTAGAAATTGGGTTATATATTAATGAACACATTTCCAGAGACCATATACACATCATTGGATTATTTTGAGCATATTATTTTTGATAGACATAAGAGTTACCACTCTGAGGGTCCTGATAATATAGTAGGGTTCATTCTCGACACACATTCGAGGATTCCGGTTTCGAATCTTGTTTGGGACAGAAGAGGTAGACACATTTCTTTTCACCTAATGCCTCTGTTTACCTAGCATTAAGTAGATACTCAGGAGTTAGTCAGCTTGTTGTGGGGTTGCATCCTGGGCAGGGTCAGTAATTAGGCCCTTTGAGGGACCTCGATACAAGCTAACATGTATGAATACATTGGCTTCCTGTCCCAAAACACAGTGAATTATAAACACAAAATGCATACACTCACACCAACACAAATGTTATACTTATTAAGAACCATAAAGGATAAAAAGAAAACACATTAGAGATTACACCAGTCTGTATTCATTACACTTGAAATTAAACGTTTACTTGTTACATTCCTTATAATTATTGCACCTCCCTTTATTCATTACACCACACTGTTCATATGCAGTGAATTATGTAGTTTTAATTGCAATTTGCCTGGGGGGCGTATTTGATTTTTTTTTTTGCCAGTTCCAGTGTATTCATGATTTTTTTTTTATCCACAGACTTCACTCCTGGAAATAGTTGGCCATGGATGATAGGCAGACTGACAATATGGAAGTTGATCCTCCTGAAAAAAAATCTGAAGAGAATTTTGACAAACAAGAGAACACGGGCAGTACCATGGAGGACGATGTTTCCAGTGAGAAGAAAGATAAGATAAAAGATGATAAAGCCGATGATGATCCAAGTTGTGAAAAAGATATTGAAGCAGATGTTGATCAGTGTTGTGAAAAAGATTTTGTGGTAATGAATGACTGTACTGCAGAATTAAATAACACTTTTGATGCGAGTACTGAGGAAACCGAGGACCCAATTAATGTAGCAATCGATGAAGGTACTGTAAATATTGATCCACTTATATCAGAAAGTGAAAGCAATCTTTTTAATAAGGAAGTGAATGAGAGTGATATCTTATGTAATTCAGATAGTTTTCCAGATAAGGATCATGCATCTGAGGTTGAAGTAGATAAAGATGGCAAGTCAACAGATTCTTCTGTCGAAACAACCACTACTAAAATCGATAAATCACAACATGAAAACACTCCTACAGCTGATGTGGGAGAAAAAAGTGCCGAGACTGCACAAACTACTGATACTCTTAAAAATGTTTCTGAAAATATTACTAGCACTAATGTGACAGAAAAAGAAAGAACTAAGACTTCACTAACTAATATTATTAGCCAATCATCTGTCTGTATTTTGGATGCTAATGGAATTGAGGAGGATAAAGTTACTGAAGAATGTGAAGTAATGGATACTAATGCACGTGAGGAGGATACATTTCCTGGAGAATGTGAGGTAATAGATGCTAATGCATCTGAGGACACAGTTCCCAAAGAAAATGAAGCCATGGATGATAATACATCGGAGAAGGATACGTTTACTGAAGAATGTGAAGTTATGGATACTAATGCATCTGAGAAGGACACGGTTACCAAAGAAAGTGTAGTGGATGCTGGTACATCTGAGGACGCAGTTGCTAAAGAGAATGAAGTAGTGGATGCTGGAGCATCAGAAAAGGACACAGTTGATAAAGAAAGTGAAGTAGTGGATGTTGGTGCATCAAAAAAGGACTCTGTTACAAAGGAAATTGAAGTAGTGGATGCTGGTTCATCAGAAAAGGACACAGTTACTAAAGAAAGTGAAGTAGTGGATGCTGGTGCATCAGAAAAGGACACCGTTACTAAAGAAAGTGATGTAGTGGATGCTGGTTCATCAGAAAAGGACACAGTTACTAAAGAAAGTGACATAGTGAACGCTGGTGCATCAGAAAAGGACACGGTTCCAAAAGAAAGTGAAGTAGTGGATGCTGGTTCATCAGAAAAGGACACAGTTACTAAAGAAAGTGAAGTAGTGGGTGCTAGTTCATTAGATAAGGACACAGTTAGTGAAGAATGGGAAGTAGTCGATGTTAGTGCATCTGAGAAGGACACAACTACTGAAGAATGTGAAGTAATGGAGGTAGATGAGGAAAGTGATAAAATTAAAAGTAACAAAAACATAGATAACAGCAAGAGTAAAAAAGTTGATTGTGAAGAGGACATTGTTGAAGTTCCAGTATACAAAAAGCCAGCAGTAGTTGTAGATTTAGCTAATGACGAAGATACTGATGATAAAAACACTTGTGATAAAAGTAATAACGAAGAATCTAACACGGAAGGAAATGGAAGACGAATTAAGCTTAGGTCATTGGCCTCTTTAGTAGATACTCCTAACGAAGATCATTCAAATTCTCTTAGTTTATATCCAGATGCCCCAGCAATTGGAGAAATAGTTGAACATGGTGTTATTATAGGATCTAACGAAATGGGAGGGTTACAGTTGCGAATCTCAAATGTTGTGGGTGGAGAAGACTGCATAACTGGCCTAACTATGGATGAAGACAGAGATACATTTTCTAATATTCAAATTTCATCAGTGACAACACTTATGGATCCTATGAGTCCAGAAGATCCCAATCAAAACAAAGACGAAACTAGTACAAAATCCACTGATAAAGAAAAAGATTCCGCTAATACAGAAGCATCAAAAGAGACTTGTGTTAGTGCTGCTGACAAACCTAGTGATTCAAGTATCGGTTCCCCAAAAGACACAATAGAGGAAACCACCAATGATGCAATTCAGATTGTTAACTCTGAAAGTCTTACCTCAAAAGGTGCTAATGCAAAAGATGGAGAAAAATCATCTGAATCTACAGGCCCAACAATTCGTCTTAGTAGTGCTGTTGCGGTAAGTTTTTGTTACATTCTCAAATACTTAGATTTTATATTAGGACTACTTTATACCATAAGTTACCTGTCGTATACTTGTTGATGATTCCAAGGATCAACATCCCTGTGGCATTGTTTGGTCAACTAGACTGTTCAAAGCCGCTGCTCACAGCTTGAAGTATGAGTCAAAGCCTTGTTGATCAGGTATTTTTTGAGGTTGCTGGCCATTTTTAACAAGTTATTGACTTGGTAGACTAAAAATGATTTTATAATGGTTTTATCACAAAACTTTTTGTATGAACCATAAAGAGATGTTATTCTGTTAAATTAACACTATAGTGGATGCTGTACATACAGAACTGTTATATGTATTAAAACAAAATGGTAAAAGTATTATTGAGTATATATTGTGATGAATATATTGCATCTCTTGTTTCTATTCTATTATGTAACGCTTCTAGAATAACATTCAGTACATGGTTCCTGGATGTTCATCCCCATTTGTGTCTGGAGACTAGCATTTAGGGTACTTGGATACAGGTCCCAGGTATCACAATGTTCTGTAACTCATTCCCTGGGTATCAGTGTTAAAACTTGATATTGCAATATATTGTAACAGGCGTTTCAATATTTTTAGTGGCGTTTCACATTGACGTTTTTATTTCACTGTTCATGTGTCCAAATATTATAAATTGGACACCCATGTACATATATATGAAGACATGTCGTGGTACAGTTGACTAAGGTGCATCTAGGAACATCCCATGCGTAGGTTTGAACCCTCATCACTGCCCTTGTGGATTTGTTCATGCAGACATTGTTTTCAACCATTCGCCTCTGGTAATGCAAGCATTTGTTCATTTTGTGTTGAAAATGTAATACAACTTGGACACCGTCAAGCATGTAATGGCCATACAACATCTGATTTGTTTCTATTATATAGTCCTCAGTGCAACTAAATATTGAATCTTGATAATTTAAAATGTTGACAACTTTCTCGTCAACAGGCAATTGCTAAAGACACCGAAACCAGTGATGAGGCAGCTAGCCAGCCAAAGTTTGTGTTTCATGTGCTGCGAAGTATACTCACTGTGAATCGGGAATGTAGTGTGTGCGCCAAGGTCTGTATTTGCAGTTTTGCACTTTCCATATTTTTGTCTGATTTTCTTTATTAGCTGTAATTACAATTGAGTAATTTCATTCTTTCTCTATTTTTTCCTTGTTTTATCTATTTTTTATTTTTTTTTCTCTTTACTGCTGGCTATGACTGTGTATGTGTATGAGTAAACTATGAATATTAAATGAGATTTGCATTATTTTTTAAAATTTGTGCTGCTTGTATTAGGCAATGTGGGAAGAATAAACTTGCTGAAATATAATGAACATACCTGTTAGTGAAGATGCCTTACATTATGGGCCTTGCCCTTGATAGTGGGTCCTACCTTTGTACTGCATAGTATATTGAACATGAAGAATGGTAAAGAACGTAAATGTTTAATGTGTGGAGTGTGAACAGTGATGGCAATGAATGCAGTAGCATTATAGTTTTCTCGGTCATCTTTATTAATTTTTTCAAGCAGTATATTAAGTCTTTATTCCATCCACAGAATGTTCAGTGTGAATTTCGTATCACTAAGAAGAATACAAGTGGAACTTGGGCATTCCTCTGTAGTTCAGAATGTCGAACACAGTGGACTTCATCCCTTCCACCTGATCATGCGGTAGAAAAACCTCGCTTGATATTTGAAAAGATGTGTGGAATGTGTGGGAAAGACTTGGTCAATGTTTCTCGTAGTGGGCAGTACTCTTGGGAGACCAGAGAATTTTGCAGCAAAGCATGTTTGAGTAAGGCTCTTTAGTTTTCTTGTACCTAACATGTAAGTGGTCATAAATTATTATCTAGAATAAAAGTATTGATTAGTGTATAGATAAGTTAGTTACCTTATAATCTTAGTCAAAGATATTTTATAAATTCATGTAGACATCCAAGTCTTTAGAAAATATGTATTTCAGCCCTTTTCACAGATGTTCAGGTAGAAAAAAAATGCTTTGAGCTATTAAAATTTAAATATTTGTCATTTGTTGTAAAAATGTCCCATACAGTTATGATCCTGTAATTGCCATGTATAGTACATGTACATCATTTGCATTGGTACATCATCGTACATCAATTAGTGCCAACTACTAATTACAATTATTGAATGTTTTGGGTTAAATTGCTAGTTACTAAAAGCCCAAAGTTATTGATGGACTAAAAACTATTTACTAGGTTGATCTTGAACTTGAGATATAAACTGAAAGAGGCGACATAAAAAAACACTAGTGTATGCTGTTCATGTTCCCCACAAAGATATTAACCAAATAAGTGCAGTATCTGGTAATTTGGCAGATGCTAAGGAAATTTTGCCAGAGTACCATGTATATTATTGTCTATATTATACCTCTCTTTGTTTCATTACAATGTGGTAACACACCTACTACTCTCCAAGTATTTACATGCGTTCAGTTGATTATGCATAAAATAAAACGTTCTGCGTACTTAAACGGTGTGTGGAAAAGATAAAATCAAAATAGAATTTCCCAAGCATTGTCATGTATGAGATGCCTTCCCACAGTGTACTACTAATGTTATAAGGGCTTGAAAATTTATTTCATTTTCATTTGTGGTTTCACAAGTATGAACATTTTTTTTAATTGATTTTCTTTCAGCTACTGTATTAACTTTACTGAATGCATAAAAAATTATTCAACAGCTTCACATCTCCATGAAGTAGCCGGAGAATGTCACACGTGTCGGGAAAAAGTGAGACCCATGTTCATTGGGAAATACTGTGTGCGGTTTGGCTCGGATATTCACCAATTCTGCTCTAATGCCTGCTTGGAGAGATACAAGACCAAGATCAAAGTGTGCTGTTACTGTCAAAAAAATCTTGAAAAAGTACAAAAAGTTTCTTCATTGGCAAATAAAGTGAGTCCAACATCTCATTGTGATTTACTAGGTACTATATCTAAAGTTAGGGAGTTCATGAGAATTTTTAGTTACTTTTCCTGATAATTTAATGAATGCAATTGTTGTAGATTTGAAACATAAACGCTTACAGATGCTGTAAATTGAAGGTTCATTGAAATTGGCTAGTGTTACCGTCTGGTGTATTTTCTGGAGACATTTTGTGTATGGAGTGAATGTGTCTGGTATTGACCATGGTCCACATTAGCGGAGGATAATAATTTAGGCCATTTTTCTATTTCGTGCAATCAACTGTCAGATTTATTGAAATGTGCACATCAGTGTGAGTCATCACTATAAGAAATAACATTTTTAATATTCAAAGAAAATCGGCCAAAGTACTTTCTTTTGTGTATGCTTTCCAATGGCCCAATTAGTATTATACCACTAATTGATACATTATTAAAATACACTATTAAAATAAATAGAAAATGCTCATGGAGCACATTTTTTTTTCCATAATCAATTGTACTGTATTTTAAACTGTTGTATTCCTCTATTCCTCAATGGATACTTACCAGTAGATCATGACTAAAGAATTTTTAGTCTTGTCTCAGTTTTTACATGATTGAATAAGCACATAGCAAACTGAGTAAACTTCAAATTAAAACGGGTTGCAGCACCCAGTATGCGCTGAGTTTGTGACATTCCCCCTGTGCGCATAAAATCAAGTGTTCGCAGAATTTTTTTTATCTTTTGTAAAATGATAAATTCCTTTCCCTGAACACATACATGTAAAAAAAAAAAAAAAAAAAAATCCACTTTGGCTGTGGGGACGTGGAGAAGGGGGCGTCACGGGCTGGTCGCCCGTGTGTGAAGCTTCCAGAGACGGTTGCGCAGGCCATTCAATACCGCGAGTTGCCACATATATATTTTCAATTATTTGTTCTATATATTTCCAATGCAGTTTTGTTTTTTATCATATGTGATGCATATTTGTGTCCTTTACAGTAGAATGTAAATTTACAGTGTCCTTTGTGAACATTACAGTAGAATGTTCATAATGTTCCATGGAACTGTGACACATGTCAGTAATGTGTCCACAATAAATGTTTATTGTCGTAATATTACCTGTTAAGTCACTAAAATTACAATATGAACAGTTTCACACACTATTTACACGGTAATACACTGTATTACACACTGAGTAATACTGAGTTCTGTAGTAGGCAGAGTAGTAGGCATCCATCATCATTTGTGATGATGGATGCCTACTACTACTTCAGAACTGAGTGATAATCAACGAAGTATTGTAGTCCATGGTACACAGCGGGACTTCGCTCTCGTTGCACCAGATACAGTTAGATTGTTGGTCCCTGTTTCTTCATTCTGTGTGCTTGTAAATAACGCGCTCACGTACACCCTTGGCTTTAGTACCTGTAGGTGGTATGTAGCCAAGCTTGTAAAGTGTAAGGTAGTCTTGAAAAGATTATAGGAAAAGATCAATTTGTAAGGTAGTCTTGAAAAGATTGCTTTGTAAGGTCCCTCGCTGGAAGAAATTCAGCCATATGTTACACAGATGCAAATCACAGATGCATCATCACTGAACCCAGAAAACGATTCATTTATGTATTTATAAAAATTGGAGGTGGCGTTGGTGGGCAAGGGTGGCACTCAGCCACAACTGGATACGCTCGCTGTGTCGTCCTCATCTGTGCTGTATCACTTGCATCTGACCTTTGTGTTAGTTCCTTGTTGTGCCTAACTTCATCAATATCATGACCCTTATGTTCTTCAAACAATAAGATCTGAATTTCACAGAGAGCGATCTGTCAACACCGCATCGGACAGGTGTTTGGGAGCAGAGATGCGTGTGCCACCCATAGTTGCTCACTCAGTACTAACCCAACCAGCAGCCCTAGGACGTTCTGGGAATTTTTTCCAGATGGCTGCCTCTCGCTGGAGGTCCCAAGAGTTCATTTCATACACATCCTACCGTGCACGTGTCTTGAATGGGTACGAAATATCAAAAGGTAAAGACCTTTTGATATTTCAGACCTTTTGATATATTACCATGACTCAGTTGGTGCAGTTTCCTACCGACTGAGTTTTCTAGTTTGGCGCAGCACAGTGGTTAAAGCGGGTGAATTTTCATTAGCTGAGCTCTTCTGTGCTCTCCTGATTAGTCAGAATTTTGAGATTTGAATCATCTTTGATTGTGTGCATTAACCTATTGGCTAAAAGCCAGACATCCCAAACCCCATTAGAATGAATACGCCCCTCAAATCACCACCAGCACCTGCAGACATGCATGACATGTAACCACTAAAATAAACAATAGAGGGTATACTTAAGACATAATCTAGACAACATGTGATGAAAAGCTTGATTGTGGCAGGACAATGAAGTGTCATTACAGTACACACAAACATCAAAATAAATATGTGGGGGATGCTTCTATATAGAGGTAATAAAATAAAACAATTTGATTTTAAAGTGTGAGGTTCTTATTTACAAAACTGAATAATCTTGTGAATCATATGTTTATTCAGTACTTTTCTGCTCAGGAGTATTGCAGTATGAAGTGTCTGAAACGTGCGCAGAGGAGAGACATCGGTCAACAAAATTATAGTGAACGACATCCATGTACTGTCTGTCAAGCAACTGGATTAAATCGATATGAATTTATATCAAGTCAAGAACCCAATCAACTTTGCTCTGATCCTTGTCTCAATGTTTACAAATATGTTAACAGGGTGAAAGCAGGTAAGTCATTCATTTGTACAAAAAAAAAGGGGAGGATTAATTTTTCTTTTTACAGATAGGGTTTTTTAAAAAGTTTTGCCTATTATATAATTAAAAGTAGTTACAGTTATTCACTCTTGCATGAATTTATACTTTCCATGATATTTTTCTTTACAGTTGTAACTACTGTACTATGCAGATTTATATATATGGAGTCTTTAAACTACAACATACATTTATCTGATTAGTCATAACCTACATACAGTACTTTACTCTTACTGTACTTTTTCCTCCTCTTTGTTTCCATCTAATTTCCACTTAGAAGTCTTTCAACATTTTTACATCTTGAGTCTATTGTAGTTATATTGTCATTTTAATATTAGCCATTTCCCTTATTTTATGCGATGGGGATCCATTGGCCAGGTGAAAAAAAGTAAAGGAAACAGGCCATTGCTCCAGGTGTCTTTAAAACAGTGGCTTCCTCTGCGGGTTTTTCGGGGTTCTGTGCTGTGGCGCCTCCCCGAGCCCTCGCTCGAGGTGTTCATGGATGCCTCGTCTCTCGGCTGGGGTTTAGTGACAAGTGCTCACCAGGCCGGCCAGGGTAAGTGGGGTCCGTCCTTCTGTCGAACTCACAGCAAGGCACGGGAGTTTGCGGATGCATGTCATTCGCTTCAGAGGATTCGTGTCGTTCGAAGGGCAATGATCTGGCTCCACTTGGACTGCTCCCCAGTGGTTCATTGCCTGAATCGCAGAGGTTCAATGCAATCCTTGGCTCTTTGAGGCTGGTCGCTTCAGGTGACTCGTCTGATGAATTCTCGGGGGTTAGCTCTCCTGGTGGTTCATGTTCCGGGGGTGTCAAGTGTCCTGGCGGACGACCTGTCTTGGTTCATTTCCCTTTCCACGGAATGGATGGTCGATGTCAACTCATTCAGTTGGCTCTGCCGGACGAATAGGCGCCCAGAGGTGGACCTCTTCACATCGGCGTGGTCGAGGCATCTTCCAGTTTATGTGGCACCATTCCCAGACTGCAAGGCCGTTGTGGTCAATGCCTTTCGGCTGGGCTAGTCGAGGTACCTCTGGCCTGCTCATGCGCCGCCTGAGCCGTCCTGGTGGTTGGACCAGGTGCTCTCTTTTTCTCTCTTCTCCTCGGTTTGTGGTGGCCCGCTCAGTTCAGGACTGTTTTTCTAAGGCTCTTTTCTTGTTGGCATTGGCCTCTTGGGGGTCAGGTCGGGGAGCTTCATGCTCTCCTCCAGTGCAAGGGTTTCTGGTCTTTTGGTCCTGGTGGTTGTTTTGTTCGTTTGCAGCCTTCTTCTTTTCTGGCGAAGGAGGAGTCTGCTACTTTCCAAAGGGATCCTTGGGTTGTTGATGCTTGGTTGGTTCGGCCGGGGGTGCATCATGTTTTGTGTTCGGTTGCGGCTTTTTGCCGTTATCTACGCGCCACTGCCTCCAAGGCAGGAGATGCGCTTTGGGTGGTCCCAGTTTCCCTTCTTCCCTGTTCCGCGACGCGGGTCTCCCAGGTTGTCCGCAGGATAATTCGGTCCAGCCAGCCTGCGGTCTATCCCCGTACCCACGACGTTCGTAAGTTTGCGGCTCTGGCTGCTGTTTTTGGAAATATGTCCTGGGCTGACATTCAGGCATGGGGCTTTTGGAGGTAGAACAGGGTCCTGGCCGCACGATATCTCGTAAATGTTCCTGGCCCTTCTCAGGCGTGTGTAGCCTTGGGTCGCAGGTTGCAGCCAGTTGTCTCGACTTCAAGTTGAGGAGCGAGTGACGACCCCTTCCCGGGTAAATCCCTTTTTTTTCTTTATCTTTGGTTAGGTAACTCTGGGGAGCCGCAGGGGGGGGCTCTACAGAAAACCAGCGTTGAATGTAATGAAACGCCATTTTCTGGGTGAGACCCAAAGGCTTCCCGGCATCCCTCCCTCCCTCCAGTTGGCGTTTTTTTTCGCTTTTTTGATACTCGGCCTCTGAACTAAGGAGAGTTGCCGGCGTGGAGGCCTGGGACCCCTCCGTCGAGAGGGGTTGCGCAGACGGATGCGTGGCGTGTGTGGTGACATCATACTTGTTTCCTTGGTTTTGATTGAAGACTTCTGTTACTTGTTTGGCTTTCGGTTTGCAAATTATTTGATCAGCAGTAGTTTGTTTTGGAATTCCTACCTTTCTGGGTACCTGACCTGGTAGGTGGCAGACAAAGACTGCTTCCAATTACACGGGGGCCATTGCTCGTCGTGCCTCTCTTGAAGGGGCCAGGTTCTGGCTCTGGTTCCCGGTAGGCCTAGAACTCCTCCAATTGACTGTTGCCACGGTCTAATATATAAACAGTACACATCAGCCCGGTATAGCTCCGGGGAGCCAAAGGGGCTCTCCACAGAAAAGTATTTATAATCTTATCAATGTTCTGACATCAATTTTCGTGTTACATCTTTAATTTAGTATCAAATTGTGTGCAATCTAAAGGCACTTATTTTAAAACCACTCCCAGATTGATCTGATAAAATTAAAATTTTTGACAAATATTTTAATATGATGGACGCCGCTCGCGTCCACGACTCGGACACGAGAAAAATTGTGGATGCCAGGGTCGTTCGAAGAGTGTGAAAGTGTTAACTTAATGTTCAAAATGCAAAAAATCACCACAAACGCGGAATTTCTTATAGGCGCGATTGTCACTGAGCGGGCAGCTGTAGTGAACTGAGGCAGGTCGAACCACGTGACTGAGAACCACGTGCTCGGTCGACCCAAACGTGTACCAACAAATATAGGAAGTTGACGACACTATCGGATGTCGAGTCGCATTTTTCAATCAAATTTACATCATAACTCGAAATTATCGTAAGTAGGGGCAATCGTAAGTCGAGGTGCCACTGTACTTTGCTCTGAGTGTAGAATCCGACTGCATTTCTAATAGTTCTATCTACAGGCTTTCTTCTGCCTTGAAAACATCATAGGTGAATGGTGCTGAGAATAATGCAAAGTGGTGTTCAAAAGAGGAGAAATACGAAATCTTTCCTGAAATTTCTTTGACAGCAAATTCAGGTGACTGTCAAATTTAGCAAAGCTAAACACACTCAGTATTTATTAGCAGTGTTTTTCAGCACTTTGCACGGCTGCAGGTGTGCTTGCAAAGGATATGTTTGTCCTTTGCAATCACGGGGAGGCCGTGTCTCCCTGTGCACAGAGGAGGCACGTTTGATATGCCTGTTATATCAAACACGGGCTGCATGTTTGACATGCCTGCCATGAAGTATATAAAAATACGATACAGAATACAAGTTCTTTGTCTCTTCTTGAAATCTTCTGCCGCAAGTTTACCTTCATTTATGTTTTTCTTTATAATTTTCTTTGTTATTGTCAAACTTATTGCTTGTTTTGTAATTTTAGAAAAGAAATGCATTCTAATGGTATATGGTTAAGAGACTACAGTACTGCACTGCAGTTGTAAAACTTAGAATGAAAGGTTAGTACTTTAGTACATTCCTGAAGCTATTACATGCTAAAGAAAATTATTTTTTGCAGTTTGTATTTTAACATAAATTTTTCTTTCAGTTGCATGTTGCTTATGCTTCCGAGTGTTGAATGCAGAGGATGTTGGTAATTATCTCTACCATGGAGGGCATCAACTAAGAGTCTTCTGCTCAGATTCCTGCGTTAATGTTTTTATCCTCTCTGCTCGGAAAATTGTTGTTTGTGATACTTGTAAGGTGAGAATTTTGTATTTTGTATTTATTTTCTCCTTGAATGCTTAACTGTAAGTGCCTACCAGTTATTGTCTGCTGGGAGCTGTCACTGGCTGTTAGAAACATATGAATCGGCAGAAAGCTGTTTGCCTATATCTTACTTATATAGGTATCCATCTATCCAATGCTTGAAACTTTCTAGTGCATGTGTATGCATGCAGGTACACTTATCTGTCAGTACTTACTAGTAACTGTTCATGGGGAGCCTTACTACTTGCCTATTAAGAACTTTAACAAAAAAATTTAATTGCAAAAGGTCTATTGGCCTATACTGTATGAGGCAGATACTATTAACTCTTAAACTGCGCAACACTTCATATGACGTGTTGAGTAACTGATGTGAAAGTGTGTACCCCCTTCATATGACATTTTGGAGTACCGCGCAAGATTTTAAATGGCCCACAGCTACACGGGGTTCACATCAGCTTCCTCAGGGCTCTTGTAAACAGACGCCATTTTTTTTTTTTTTAAATCGTGGGCAACATTCCCGGGTGTGAAAGCCTCAGCACTGAGTGAGCCACCAAGGCTGGTGCACACAGCATGAGCTCACAACACTGCTGTTGAGCTAGTGACCACAGCATTGCTAAAAAATGCCAAAAATATATGTAACTGGTATTATTTAGTGATGATAGTATTACAGAAGAACCCTGACTGTGATAAAAATTACCAGGATTCTGATAATAGCAGGATTGTTGTGATAATTTGTGCTGTGCTGTGGGAGGAGTAATGTTGTGGGTGGGGAGGGCTGTAGTGCCGTCTGCCGAATCTCTGGCCACCTGTTACTGTCTGCACTTGTTATACCAGCTTAGTGGTTCGCTATGGTGAACAAATGTAGATACATACATACATACATATGGTACTCGTTCTACATTTCTACATGCGCCTAGGGTTTCCTTCTCTAGGTACCCTGTAAGTACTGCCCTTGGGGCTTAGGGCCACCATCCACAAGTCACCTCGGGATCTACCTCCGCTGTGCTGTTTACTGCTCGGTATTTGGCTGCCCTTGGGGTCAGCTGGGTTTTTTTCTTGCCCTTGTTTGTCTCAGGGTAGGGGGGTAGTTTTCATCACTGGCAGGGGCACAGGGTACTGCACATCTAGTTTTCACCAATAACAGCGGCCGGCTCTGTTCCGCCTGGGTACGTTGTGTCCCCCTTCTCTGTTCTTGGGGTTATTGTATCCATCTACCTTGTTTTGGTGGTCCACCTCGCCTTGGCCCCCGTGTGTGTACACGTCCCGGGGGTTTAGCTATAGAAGTTTTGTTGGTAGATTGGGCGCTGGTTCTCAGTACCTTGCCTAGGCTTCCCTTAGCGTGTATCCAAGGCTAAGGGCCCTGGGAAACCCCACGGGGGCTACGTGGTCCGATGGATGTGACCCCCGAGTCCCTGATCTGTAGACCCCCCATTAATAAAGGAGGGGGTCTATAGACCATTGCTCCCCGTGCCTCTCTAGAGGGGGCCAGGTTCTGGCTTGTGGTCCCCGGTAGGCAAGAACTCCATGCATTGACTGATGCCAGAAAGTTATACATATCCATTCAGCTTGAATAGCTCCGGGGAGCCTCTGGGACTCGCCCAGAAAATGGCGTTTCATTACATTCAACGCTGGTTCTTTGGGCACTATATCAGCTTAGTTATCAGCTTAGTTGAACAGTAATGGTGAACAAAACATGTAGACACTTATATATAATGTGCATATATAGTGTAATAATAGCAAAACTATTTGTTTATTGTTTTATGAACATAATAATTGAATCACTTATATGATCACAATACTTTTGAGTATAGCTATGATTCACATATTTTGTTATATAAATACATCACACTACACACTATTGAATAATATTTCTGCAAAAAACTTGGAAAAAATCAATCGGAGACATTGAAATAATTAGGTAATATCTTTGTGGCAACTCCCGCCTGTCAGCTCAGACAGAGCTGACCGCCTCCAGCTCTTAGTCTGTTGACGCCTTTTTTTTTGGCAGACTTCCTCGCCCTATTGCGGTCAAAATATGCCACCTATGATTTTTTCATTATTATTTTTCCCTGAAGCCCAGAACAGCTTAGGGGTTAAATGTAACCAATCCTTCTCCATCTATACATCACACACACTTGAATCTTTCCAGTGACTATGATTCTGTGATGTTGATTGGTAGCTTATTATGGGCATAGATTTGTGAATCTGCTGTATTTGCCTATTTATTTTCTAAATTGAACTGATGATTCTATATTTTAATTCAGTATTTTAGTACTATACTCTGTTGTACTTGCTCCTAGTTAACATTGAATGAACTGAATAACACATTCATCAGCACTGAATGTTAGGAGTACAGCGAATTGCTGTATAGTTGTTCAATACTGCTGTATTTGTGGGAAAAAATAAAATAAAAATTAGTGGTAATATTTCTCTAAAGTCTTACATATGTATATATATGGGCCTGCACACAACTATTTATGGTTGAATTCTTTGCTTTTCAGGTGAAGAAATACAACTTTGACATGATTCATCAACAAGTAGATGAAGATTTTAGAGATTATTTCTACTGTTCAATAAATTGCCTTAACTCTAAAGATGATAATTTAGGGTAAGTATACTGTTTTAATTTAAATTTGTCTTAAGTAGTCATCCCATAATTATGATCTTTAATACCTTCCGATTGATTTCTGCTGCTCCTGTACATTGCATTGACTAAAAGTTAGCCGTGTTTGTAATAAGACATTTTCAGTAAAGAAAATCTTTCAGATGCAGAGCTTCACCTTGTTGTATTGCGCATGAGGGCAGAATCATATGGCTAGTTAAAAGGGTCAAAATGAGCTCCAGTTACTTAAACAAAAATAAAAAATTGTTGCAGGATTTCATATAATTAACATAAATTCAATGTTATTAAAGTTTTAAATGTGTGTGTGTAAACATAGCCTTCTGTATATCATTCAGTAATCCAACAGTTAAGCTCTTTAATTCAAATGTTTCTCAAATTAGTAGTTAAACTCTCTCATAATTCTGGAAGAAATTATGGAGACTTAATCCCTTGCATTTCATCATAATTGCAGGTTCATTTGTCATCATCTCATACAGACCTCCGTTTCTAACGCATTGATTAACTTGAAAATTGTTATGTAGTGTTATATAAATAACCATGCAATATATACTTTCAGCTTTCTGATTAGTTACACGACTGAATTTCATTATAGTGAAATGGCATCCTGAATGTTCATCTTCCCTTCCCCCTAGCCACTATTACCCCACCACAACCTCCACCATTGTCTGTCCTCACCATTGCCACTGACAAAACAATATCAGTACATTCATTGCCATCAACACAAATTTTACCAAAATTCTATCATCTTTTTACATCAACTTGTGTTCATGACACTCCCTGAACTGATTGTACGTCTGTACTGTAGTACAGCATCCTGTAATTGTTGCCGCTCCTGTAATAATTTTTTCTAGGAGTTCCCAGTCGGTGGGTCGCAGAACCTAAATTCTGACTACTAGTGCATCCGAGTCATTGAAAATTAGCAAGTGGTGTGTATTCTGATTAGGCAATTTTTTTTCAGTCAAGCAAGTGTGGCAGGAAGTCACAGGTCTTTTGAGTATTTGAAAATAAGGCTGCAAGTCCAGAAAGGTCGCTCTCTCCTGAGATGTGTTGGCCGGAGGATACCTATTTTGATCTTCCATGTGCTTTTAAAACCTATCTAGTTGCAAGAGCTTCTGCATATTTTACGAGTTGTTTTGAGCTCAAATATATTTGATTTTTCAGGAAGAAAAGTGGTGATAGCAATGATGTTTCAACAAGCAGCACTACCGGATCAAATAGTACTGAAGCACCTGTTGCTTCTTGCAACATGTGCAATACTATGGCTAAAGCTCAGTACCATATGGTCATGTCAGACAACACACTACGGAGCTTCTGCCGTTATGCCTGTGCTACCAAGTACAAAAACACCTATGGATTCCAAGTAAATGGAATACAGACATCAGACTCATCTCAGTCTACTAATTCAATATCATCTATTAGTAAGTTTTGAGATAATACATTCCCAATTAATGATAAATTTAAGTGGAATGACAGTATGTTACTGTATTACTAAGCATCGTTTATCAATTTACATCTGACGATTAACGTAAAGTAAAGAGTTGCATTTGCCAAGAAAAATCATGAAAATTGAATTTAGTCACTGTAAAGGTGAACTGTAAGCACCGGACATTTTAATAGACTATAACTTAATACAGTAATATACTTTTACTATAATGCAAGCAGTGCCTTCCCCCCCTTCCCCCCAAAAATCCAAAATGCCTAACAAAAATGCTATTCCAAATTCGTTCAAAACGTGATTGGGGCCTTATTCAGAGAGTTACCATTCATACCTAATATTTCCCATGCGCTATTAGCTGATTTCACTGAGTGAAATTATAATTTCAACCTGCCATATAAAGGGTAACAAAGAAGAGAACCTATCTATACAAATATTTAACCAAGGTATTTAACCACATCTAACAAATTTCTCATGTCCATGCCTCAAAATCTCATTTTCAAAGGAAAGAGGACCCGTATTTTACTGAACGCCTCTAAAGTTATGTGGAAATACTGGAAATACTGTATAAAAGAATCATAATTTGGTTTTAAATATTCTCAGTGGCTTTCCCAAGGCCCGAACTATTTCTTGTAATATTGCCTCCATCTGTGAACTTGGTTCCAGCATCTTATGCAAATCACATCCCCCCTCCTTGCTTCAGCGAACTCTTGTTCATCGAATCCAGTGAGTAAATCTGGCATGAAAAGGGCGTGTTCCAACTGGAGATTCACAGAATTGAGGTTTCACTAGTGTGAATCATGTAAAATATGTTGAGTAGAAGTGTGTAATGTTTTAAATTGCTTGTTTACTTTCTGTATATACTGTGGTTGCCATAATTTCTCCAGGCTGATGCTTCTCTATAAAAGTGGAAAAACAAGTTAATAATGGCAATATATATACCACATTTTCTGAGGGGAGCCCCTTCGGCTCCCCGGAGCTATCCAGGCTGATGTGCTAATGTTAGACTTTGGCATCAGTCATGTGCATGGAGTTCTGTGGGCCTATCGGGGACCACGAGCCAGAACCTGGTCCCTTCACAGAGGCACGAGGCGAAATGGCCTATAGAAACCCCCGTATGGTTAGAAGCATTCTATGTCTGCCATCGACCAGGTTAGACACCCAGAAAGGTAGGCATCCTAAAACACCTACCTTTCTGGGTGCCTAACCCCCCAATAGGGGGTTTGTTTTAGGACGCCTACCTTTCTGGGTGCCTATCCCGGTCGATGGCAGACATAGAATGCTTCCAACCACATGGGAGTTTCTATAGGTCATTTCGCCTCGTGCCTCTGTGAAGGGACCCGGTTCTGGCTCGTGGTTCCCGGTAGGCCCACAGGACTCCATGCACATGACAGATGCCAAAGTCTGAAATTAGCATATCAGCCTGGATAGCTCCGGGAAGCCTCCAGGACTCGCCCAGAAAATAGCGTTTCAATACATTCAACGCTGGTTTTTTGCAATCCTTAATCTTGTTTGTATTTAAATCAAATTGGTAGGCGAGGTGCATAATAAAAATTGCATTTGTTTATTATTACATATATTTAATTGATATTTAATTTGTGTTTATCATTGCTTCATTCAGGAACAAAAGCTACAAATCAACCAAGCAACAACTTACCGCAGGGCTCAGACTCAGTTTTACAAACGAAGAAGAAAGCAGTCAATGATATTTCTCTAGACAGTATCAATGTAAGTGCTTTCATTCTTTCCTTTAATAGATTATTCATTCTAATTTCATATAAATACATAACTAAACAAGTGGAATATATTGAGTGGAAAAGATGTGAAGTGCAAAAGTTGATAATAATGGGTAAGATTGAGGAGACTAGCAGTAATAGCTTGGTCCTGTTGAATAACTGGATGGCAAGTGATGAAAAGTGTGTATTTAAGTGGATGTGATAGCATTAGGAAAGGAAAACCCAAATATAAAACATCCATTTAAATATGAGCTTATAACTGGGGGTTATGATCACCAAAGGCTTTGACATTTGACCAAAACAAGAGGAGGAAACATATAGTGTTGGAATTGAACAAAAGACATAGGTAATTATAAATTGAGAGTGATGTACCAAGCAGGTGCCACTTAGTTGCGTGTTGAGTAAATGTTTCAACAGCATCAGCACATTCAAGTTACTTCATTATAAATAAATAAAATAACAGAAGAAATAGTATGTAATGCAAAGGCAATAAATACTAGATTGCTGAACCGAGCTGCCAAATAGAATTCCTCCTGGAAAACCCACATCTTCTCAGACCATGTATTGAGACTGTTGTTAATAGTGTATGGAAGAAATATGATTTTATAAATTGCCCCTCAGTAGCTCCCTGCAGCTTATGGCACTGAACAAGGAACCAGGATCAGTCTGGCTCTCTCAGAGGTGAGGGAACTGTTTGGAATCAAAGATCATCCTGGCAACTGAAGTAAACTGTGTAAATTACCCAAAGTCCTGACCAGCCAGCCACCCTCAATGTCTTGCCTGATGCCATCGTCATCTTTTGTCACTCTTGCTAGGAATTGAAATATTCCAGTGACATAAGTAGCTTGACTTACCATCAGACTTGGTTCAGTGTTAAGTACTATATGCTATTATGTCATAAGCCTTAAGTGTTCCTCACTGACTTGCTTTGCTTAGGCTCTTGTTTCAGGGTTGTCATCCCTGTCACTATTAGTGAAGCCTGGTTTATCACCAGATTTATCTTTTCTGAAGTGCTCAAGTTGCTCTTCTAAGGATTGGGTCAAATTTCAGGCACAACCCTTTTCCAGGTTGTGCTCAAGATTTATTGGCCAATGTGAATTCTGTTCAAGAAGTGAGAATAGGTGGCCTTCAATTTGCATGGTTTTGGAGAATGATTCAGTGGTACACAGATAAGCCCATTTATAATAAGATTCATAATGCATGAGTGAAATTTGAAGGTACACTGGATTTGTGGGGATTAACATGCATAATCTGCGCTAATCCATGTGTATGTACGATGTTCTCAAAAATTTGGTTGGATACAATACAACCCACATTCTTGGGTTTTATGCACTATTTTGATAATGCTGCTTCATCATTGTACTTTGAAAGTATTGTGGACTTCATGATGTGCAGAAAAATGTAGGGAATATTAATGTTAAAGTAGCTATTTAGTAATGACTGGGGAAAAGTGGACTTTTGAGGTCTCTTAAAAAAAAAGTTTTTCTTAAATTACTTTGTTTGATTTGTAATTTGTTATTGAACTGAATTTTATAGGAATGTAACCCAAGTTCAAATCAAGGACCTCCTGTAGTTAATAGATGCATGTGTGTGTTGCGTTCAGTTTGTGACTCGAGCGGGGTTTGTTGTCTTGCACCTTGACCGAGTGTGAGTTTGATTCTGACGTAACATCAGTATCCTTTCTCTGGTGTTAATGGCTCCATACAGGCTTGTCACATGATAGATATTATTTAATGTCTGGCTACTGATAATGCATTCTCTTATATCAGGCAGGTTTGCCCATTGTCCCATTAGCTTCACGCTGCCAGTTCTAAACATGTGAGTGGTTATGGACACTCCTTCAATGTTCACCTGCTCATGTGCTCTTTTTTTTCCTCCTGTAATAACTTGATTAAATGATGGAATTTGTTGTCTTACTCAAGTGTGGGTCTACTGTAGCAAAAGATTACGGCATTGGTATAGGTACTGTTTCAGGTTCAAGAAACCAAAAGGATATTGATGGTTATTAATTTGGGTAAAAAAAATTCTTAAGGATACTGATCATATGGAATTGGATACAGCTGTGTAAATGTAGTTTTGCAGGTGTGTGGGTCAGAACATGTGGGAACTACTGGCAAGTTTGCTGGTAACTTGGTCATTTATGAGTTGAAGGCTAACAGTGCTTGCCTTAATAGATTTCAGAAGAGATATGAAATTATATTTTTTCAAGATTAAGGAAAAGCCATAAGTGTGGATAGAGAATTCCGAGGTCATGTTATGGCAGTACTGTTCCCTTGCAGCGGAGGGGGTCTGTAATAAACTGTTTCCTTCAAGGAGGATTCCACTGTACAGAAGATAATTTTTATGAAACTTCATACCTGTGAATGTACAGTTTTGTAGAGTGCCCAAAGTGTTCAACAGTGATGTTGAGAAACCACAAAATGAGAGAAGACTATTTGTAGCTTAACATTACATCTGGTTAAGGTTTATTCAAACATCAATTTGATAAAGCCCTTATAAGTGGGAGCATCTGCAAATAAATTTTACTTTTAATGTTTTTCAACATGAAATTTTATTATTAACACCCAACACAAAAGCTGATATTGATATGCAACCAGTATATTGTAACTACTGGTAGCTAAAAACAAAAATCATATGAAATGCATTTTCACTGTAGCCTTGCAGCATACGTTTGTAATTAACATGCAGTGCAGTATATCACTAATAACACACATAGTGTCGTGTCATCTTTTGATGTGAAACACTAGATCCTTGGGGTGAGCCATTTGGCCAGCTCTCTCTTTAGTTCTGATGTTTTTCATTCAGTACAATACAATATTTAAAAGAAATTATCTTATGCTAAACATTTATTTTATTACAAAATATTGTTTTCATAAAGGAATGTTGACATTTTCATTGATGGTTAACAAAGTAAAGAAATTAGGAAACAATTCATTAATGTTGGAAAGGTTGCAGTTGTTAAGAGAAGTTTCCATTATATTCTTGGAATATGAATTTAGAATACTTAATATCATAAATAAATTAGTGAATTTAAACGGAGAGTTTACAACAAAATATGGAAACCCGACCGTTTCCGGAACAACATCTCCACGGTTGCCGGAACAACAATGGACATCTTGAAGAGAAAACTAGATAGTTTTCTTAAGAAGTGCCGGACCAACCGGGCTGTGGTGAATATGTGGGCTTGCAGGCCGCTCCAAGCAACAGCCTGGTGGACCAAACTCTCACAAGTCGAGCCTGGCGTCGGGCCAGGCTTGGGGGAGTAGAAGAACTCCCAGAAACTTATCAAGTAGGTATCAAGCAGGTATCCTGAAACAAACACCAACGCCCAGTCTGCTAAATATGTTTTTATCAGTCTTACTGTGCAACATATACTGTACTGGTGAACTGTCGGTAATAAAATAAAGCCAGAAATAAAGTGAAAATTAGAATAAGCAAACACGGTATGTTGTTTGGACCCAGAATGTTAACTGTTGTTATCTTTGGGAGATTTATCATGGATACTTTTTCTATGTATGGATTGATAATTTAGTAAAACCTTTTAATTGAAACATTATCTTCAATTCATTCAATTTTCATGTAATTGAGTTCCTGTTTGCATTATTCTTCAGAGAGATGAACAGGCACTTCAGAATTCAGAGCTACCTTCCGTATGTACAAGTTTACTTACACTTCACGTTTACGTACTACTATTTTTAGGATTTCTGTGGCCGTCTTGTAATAATTTTTTTGTGTTGGGCACAGCTGTAATGTTTTGACTTTGCACAGCTGTTATTTGTTTTACGTTTATACATGCTTCATTGCATGCTCTTTAAAATCAAATTTTGAGGTATCTCGTGTGAGTCCATAAACACACTTGACCCAATAAAAGATGCTTCGTAGTGCATGGGAGAAATATCATTTCAAGATTTTATTCTTATATTTACATCTGCACAAATAGTGACTACAGTTCTTCATTAACTTGATGAATGTATTATTTCCAGTTATTAAATGTTTTGTGAAATGTGGTTCTAAAATGAATGTGATAATTTTAATATCTTTATTTTGTATAAAAAAATTTGGGTAATTTTGAGATTATTGGCAAATTAGTGACATCGTTTATTCCTAATGCATGTTGTAATGACTACTTATTTTGAGGTTAATTATCTACTAAGTTAAATAAAAAAAAAAGAGCCCAAATCTAAATGCTTTTCATTTAAGTTTTTTTTTTTTTTTTCAATTTTGGAATTTATTTTCTACTTACTGTTGGTTACATTCAACCAGGCAGCTTCTAACATATTCCTCACTTTCACTGTAACATCCTGCTTTTTGTATTTCTAACTCACTACAATACAATAGAGGAGGAACATAGATGAAGGACAATATCACACAGTTAGAGGGAAAACCATGGATGGGAAAAAATGGACTATTCCAAAGGGATACAAAACCATTATAATAAATTGAGAATGGGGGGGGAATGGTCAGCAGAAGACTGAAAAAAATGAAGTAAACTAAACAACCTTTAGAGTGAGCTGAGATTTGCAAAGGGACATGAAAAAGACTCCAGGAAAACTTTCCTCAAGTCCAGTATGGGATTGAAAACCAAACAGTGGCTGGTCCTCTTATAGGGCTAACCTCACCTGCAGGCATGCTAACGTAAATAACAATATGTCTACCGAGTTCACCCTGCGCACCGCCTCACTCGGTATTTGATTGGCATCCATCCCCGTCATTTCCCCTATTCTTTCACCCGAGTGTGATCAGTTCACCTTACCTCCTACACAACTTCACCTCTTTCATATGTTTGTTTAAGATAAATTTGCACCTTGTGTAATTTATGGATTATTCATGCCTGTGTCACCTCTTGGGTGGCTTATCTTCATCAATCAATCATTCTTTTATATTCATTCCTTACCTGAACATGTTCGAGTGAAGTGAAATGTTGTAGAAAATATACCCTTCAACAATCATTCGAGTTTCTTTACCATGAATTTTGATATATATACATATATATATAAAATACACATAAATTCCTTACCTATAAATCTATAAAGATACACCAGTTGAGTGGTGGTACCAAAGAGCCAAAGCTCAACCCCCGCAAGCACAACTAGGTGAGTACATACATACCAATACTGGAATGTGCGGCTCCTGCATAGAGTGCACATCTAGTCAAACACAAAACGAAGTTGAAAAAAGTTCAAAAGAGCTCCAAGAGTCAATGCTCAATCCTGCAGGCACAAGTAGGTGAGCGCATGCTCGCATGCACGTCCTTAACTTGGATACCATGCAAGTTGATGGAGAAGATTGTGCGAAAAAAGTTAGTGGAACATCTGGAGCAAAGGAACTTTGTGACATAGCATAAACATGGGTTCAGGGATGGCAAGTCATGCCTCACAGGATTAATTGAATCCTACGATCAGGCAAGAAAGAGAGGGATGGGCAGATTGCACATTTTTGGATTGCCAGAAAGTCTTTTGACACAGTACCACATCAGAGATTAGTGCCAAAGCTGGAAATGCAGGCAGGAGTGAAAGGGAAGGTACTCCATGGATAAGGGATTACCCAAGTAACAGAAGACAGCGAGTCACTGTGAGGGCTGAGGCCTTAGACTGGCAAGGCGTCACCAGTGGAGTCCCGCACGGTTCAGTCCTTGGACCTATGCGGTTTCTGATATATTTAATGATCCCCCATAGGGTGTAGAATCGTTCCTCTCGTTGTTTGCTGATGATGCAAAAATTATGAGGAGGATTAAGACGGAGGAAGATGGTATGAGGCTACAGAATGACCTTGGCAAACTGAATGAATGGTCTAACAAATGGCTGCCAAAGTTAAACCCATGTAAATGTAATGTAATGAAACTAGGTAGTGGAAACAGGAGGCCAGACACAGGATACAGAATGGGAGATGAAGTCCTTAATACAATGGCCAGAGAGAAAGATCTAGGAGTTGATATCACACCAAACTTATCTCCTGAAGCCCACATCAAAAGAATAACGTTTGCGGCATAGGCAGAGCTGGCCAACATCAGAACTGCCTTCAGGAACCTGTGCAAGGAATCATTCAGAACCTTATATACCACATATGTAAAACCAATCCTGGAGTATGCTGCTCCAGCATGGAGCCCATACCTTGTCAAGTACAAGACGAAGTTTGAAAAAGTTCAGGGGTATGCCACTAGGCTAGTCCCAGAACAGAGTCATGAGTTACGAGGAAAGGCTGCGTGAAATGCACCTCAAGACACTGGAAGACAGAAGCATAAGGGGAGACATGATCACTACCTAAAAATTCTCAGAGGAATTGACAGGGTAGATAAAGATACTGTTTAACATGGGTGGTACGCAAACAAGGGGACACAGGTGGAAGCTGAGTACCCAAATGAGCCACAGGGATGTTGGAAAGAACTTTTTCAGTATCAGAGTAGTTAACAGATGGAATGCATTAGGCAGTGATGTGGGTGGAGGCAGACTCTATACACAGTTTCAAGTGTAAATATGATAGAACCCAGTCGGCTCAGGAATCTGTTGTACACCAGTTGAGAGGTGGGAAGAGGGTGCCATAGCTCAACCCCCACAAGAACAACTAGGTGAGGACACACACACACTCAGAGAATTCTGCATCTGAGCTCAGCATTCCACTTCACCTGATCTTTCAGGCATCCCTCTGTACAGGAATCGTAGCAGATGTGTGGAAACAGGCTAACATAGTTCCAGTCTACAAAAGTGGCAGCAGGGAAGACCCCCTCAATTATAGACCTGTATCATTGACAAGTGTAATAGTGAAAGTACTGGAAAAGCTAATCAAAACTAAAGGGTAGAACACCTGGAGAGAAATTATATAATATCAGACAGACAGTACGGTTTTCGATCTGGAAGATCCTGTGTATCGAATTTACTAAGTTTCAATGATCGAGCTACGGAGATTTTACATAAAAGATGGTTGGGTTGACTGCATCTATCTGGACCTAAAAAAGGCTTTTGACAGAGTTCCACATAAGAGGTTGTTCTGGAAACTAGAAAATATTGGAGGGGTGACAGGTAAGCTTCTAACATGGACAAAAAAATTTCTGACTGATAGAAAAATGTGGGCAGTAATCAGAGCAATGTATTGGACTGGAGAAATGTCACAAGTGGAGTACCACAGGGTTCAGTTCTTACACCAGTGATGTTTGTCTATATAAATGATCTACTAGTTAGTATACAGAATTATATGAAAATGTTTGCTGATGATGATGAAATGATGATGTTAAGATAATAGGAAGGATAAGAAACTTAGATGATTGTCATGCCCTTCAAGATGACCAGGACAAAATAAGTATATGGAGCACCACTTGGCAAATGGAATTTAATGTTAATAAATGCCATGTTATGGATTGTGGAATAGGAGAACATAGACCCCACACAACCTATATATTATGTGAGAATTCTTTAAAGAATTCTGATAAAGAAAGAGATCTAGCAGTGGTTCTAGATAGAAAACTATCACCTGAGGACCACATAAAGAACGTTGTGCGAGGAGCCTATGCCACGCTTTCTAACTTCAGAATTGCTTTTAAATACATGGATGGCGATATACTAAAGAAATTGTTAACGACTTTTGTTAGACCAAAGCTAGAATATGCAGCGGTTGTGTGGTGCCCATATCTTAAGAAGCACATCAACAAACTGGAAAAGGTGCAAAGACATGCTACTAAGTGGCTCCCAGAACTGAAGGGCAAGAGCTACAAGGAGAGGTTAGAGGCATTAAATATGCCAAAAGTAGAAGATAGAAGTAAAAGAGGTGATATGATCACTACGTACAAAATAGTAACAGGAATTGATAAAATCGATAGGGAAGATTTCCCGAGACCTGGAACTTCAAGAACAAGAGGTCATAGATTTAAACTTGCTAAACACAGATGTCAAAGAAATATAAGAAAATTCACTTTCGCAAACAGAGTGGTAGACGGTTGAAACAAGTTAGGTGAGAAGGTGGTGGAGGCCAAGACCGTCAGTAGCTTCAAAGCGTTATATGACAGTGCTGGGAAGACCGGACACCACGAGCATAGCTCTCATCCTGTAACTACACTTAGGTAATTACACACAGTGTGTATACAGTACATACATATATATGAAACAATGATCATGAAAACCATTGATTTAAGTGCGGGAAAACCACATTGAAAAATGAAAGGAAATTGTAAAGGTTTCAGTCATTTGTGTGTGTGTGTACTCAACTAGTACTCACCTAGTTGTGGTTGCAGGGGTTGAGCTTGGGCTCTTTGGTCCTGCCTCTCAACCATCGATCAACTGATGTACAGATTCCCGAGTCTACTCGGCTCTGTCATATCTACATTTGAAACTGTGTATATAGTCTGCCTCCACCACATCACTTCCTAGTGCATTCCATTCATTTACTGTCACTGAAAAAGTTCTTTCTAATGTGTCTGTGGCTCATTTGGGTACTCGGCTTCCACCTGTGTCCTCGTGTGCGTGCACCACCCGTGTTAAATAATCCATCCTTGTCTACCCTGTCAATTCCCCTGAGAATTTTGTATTTGGTGATCATGTCTCCCCTAGCTCTAATGTCTTCCAGCGACGTGAGGTGCAGTTCACGTAGTCTGTCCTCATAACTCATGCCTCTTAGTTTTGGGACTAGCCTAGTGGCATACCTCTGGACTTTTTCCAGCTTCGTCTTGTGCTTGACTACATATGGGCTCCATGGTGCCCTCCTCTTCCCAGCACTCATCATATAACGTTTTGAAACTACTGATGATTTTGACCTTACACCACTTTGTGTGTGTGTATAAATATACATATTTATTTTTCTGCACAGATTGGGATGATGGATTTTGTTGATAGCGGCATTATGAGGTTTAATTATTTGTTTATGTTCTTGAAAGATAATAAACACTAACATACAAAACATTTTAATTGTCAAATGGCACCAAACAAATTAATTTTTATGAAACTTTTTATTTTTTAATGATATTGGTTGAAAAAAAAAATTTTGAAAGTGTTTCTATAGTTATCTTAAGTTTAGGTTTTGAGGGATAAAGATTTTGAATGTCTAGTTTGTTTTATGAAAAATATTTTACCTGGGATCATTTTATCTTATGATGGTGGGCTGTTGCTTATTTGCTAACAGCTGATACAAGTTTGTAATTAATGGTTCACATTTATCTGATGGCAGTGGACTGTTGGGTTAGTTAAAAATAAAATTGAAGAAGTTTAAGTTATTCTCTATTTACTAAAATAAATAAGCTAATCTGAGGACATCTAAGATTTCTCAGAACTATTTTTTTTTTTTTACATTTTACTGTTCTAATTTTGCATATAATTTCTTCTTAAATATGTTTCTTTATTTTTCAGGTAACATCTGAGTTATTAAAATTATTAATCCCTCCTACAATGGTGAACAAAATGACATCTTGTCGTCCTAGTACACTTACAAAGGGTGTATATTGCAAGCCACATCCGTGGCATAGACAGACCCAGACAGGTGAGTTTAAAACTCAACAATATTATTTCTATTTGAACATGTATTATTATGATACCTTTTCAAAGGGGGGGGAACCCCTTGGCTCCCCGGAGTTAACCAGGCTGATATGAATGTAATAGACCCAGTCAATGAGCATGGAGTTCTAGACCTACTGGGACCACGAGCCAGAACTCCTCAGAACTGCCTCAGAATTGCTCCTCGTGCCTCTCTGAGGCACGAGGGTCCCCACGGCCTTGGGGGCACGCTGGGATTTTCTTCAAAATGGTGGACGATCACTGGAGGCCTCAGGCATCCATTTCATACCACGTCCCCGTGCACTGCGTTTGAATCATACGCAATACCTATGAACTGCCTGAGGCGCGTTGCGCACCACCTGTCGAGTGCCTCAAGGCGCATTGCGCAGTGCAGCGGTTAATGATAATATATAATAAAATTAGTGGTGTAAGTTGTAGATGTTTTGGCAAGAATTACATATGGTAATTTATTTTGTTATGATTTATATTCTGTATGATAAGACTGATTTTATTGTTTTTTTCAGAATCGTCTGGAATTAACTGTAGTCTCTTTACATCGGAGCCACCGCCTATTCTCCCTGTGCCTATTCCTGTGTATGTTCCAACTCCAATGATGATGTATAATGCACCATTTCCTGTCCCAATATTTGTTCCTGTTCCACTGCCAGTACCGATCTTCATTCCTACGTCAGCTAAAACATCAGACGACATAAAAGCTATGATGAAGGTAAGACATACTGTAGAAAGAAGCATCATGCATAAGAATCTGAAACAGATCCTTTCCAAATACCTGTCCATAAAGAAATCCCCATCCTCGTTCCCATTTACACCTGACGTATATCACTTCCCAGCAATTACCTTTCTGCATTCATATTTCCCAAGCTTCTCCCTCCCAACACTTTCACATTTCACCATTCTCCTATTTACCCCGCCCATGTGATGGGCCTCGCTCATGCCAAAGACATATCTCTCTCCATTCATCAAATTTAGTTGCAATTCTTCTTTGCTACCCCTCCTGTTTTCATGTCATTAACGTTTAAGGCGGGCACTCGGTTACTATTCCATTCTCTCCTAAAGTCACCTCCAACATTTAAATCCAGTTTCCTCTAGCCCAAGCAGGGGTTTTTGACTGGACCAGCATCTAGCCCAGAGAGCTAACAAGGACTCAAAGGCAGTTTCATTAATTCAGCTCTGTTTTGATATGAGACATATTTGGCATAGTATATATATCATAGTATGAATATCACTCAATTAAGTTTTAAAGATTTTCATATGCACAATATTAAGAAAAATTGTTGAGGGTCATTAGAAATGTATTAGGCATAGTTTAAACAAAATTTTGCTTCATTATCATTTTGAGTTTGACATGGCTCAATCTGTAAAGATATGATCCACTTTTGGAGTTTCCATATTCACATTGAGACATTGTAAAAATTAAATATCAGGTGCATTAAAATACAAACTTGTACATTAAGAAAAAATAGCGCACAAATACATCACCAGAGCAACACATACTAAAGTGTCATTTGTTGGCTGTAGGACAAACACATTTGGGTGGAGGGATCTTGTGTGGGAACTTCCATTGTCTGAAATGTACTGATGCTTTCCTGCCAGTAATATGATGAGATATTATGTTTAAAATATTTCTGAATAATTTCTGCATTTTTATAATGAATCTTGCATATACCTTATGTTTTTTATTTCATCTTTGGTATTGATTAGTTATCTAGAAAGGTTTCTTGAATTATTACTTACAGAATACAGTACAAGTATTTTAATATTTAATTAATTTCCATTAGAAAATCCAGGATGAAATGCCATCAGATCCCTATGAAGCAGAGATGCTACTTTTGGCCCGTGCATCTAGCGAGAGTGTAGAACCTGAAGTAATAAGAGAAGAGCCCAAGAAGTCTGATGTACCAAATATGGGTGAGAATGCTGAGGAGGGATGTGGAGAGTTATCTTCTTTTGACAACTTAACCATGTGTAAGTTGTTAATTCTAGGAAACCTTCCATAGACTTCATTTATAATTTATTTCTTAATAATTAATTTGGCATCCCCAGAAGGGATGTAATTTCAGACCTTATAATTTTAGGCAGGTCTGAGGCTATTCGATGCTCCTCAGAGCTATAGAGCATCGAATAGCCTAATCATATACGGGCCCTGAGACTTAAACTGCCTCCCAAAAACTAGGATCAGAATCTAGTTTCTTCTGAGTGACAGTGCAATCATGAAGCTAAAAAATCAGGGTTTCCTGGGATTCCTGGGTAGCCTGGTGTCTGACAGTCTGTTGGGTTTCCTGTTCCTTCCAGGATTCAACTTCCTTTTACAAATTTGCTCACTGATTGAGGTCTCTGTCCATTATCCTTTTTTATTGCAAACATGATTAGGTCACTAGTTTCAAGGAAATCAATCACCTCCACAACCCATGCCATCATGGATTTAGCGTGGGAAGATCATGCCTCTCACAGCTACTTGACCACTAAATGGCTACCAGGGGGGCCTGGTGGATAGCGCGCAGGACTCGTAATTCTGTGGCGTGCGTTCGATTCCCGCACCAGGCAGAAACAAATGGGCAAAGTTTCTTTCACCATGAATGTCCCTGTTACCTAGCAGTAAATAGGTACTTTGGAGTTAGTCAGCTTCTTGGGGTGTGTGTGTGTGGTATGGGGGAAAAAAATAGTAAACAGTTGATTGACAGTTCAGAGGCGGGCCGAAAGAGCAAAGCTCAATCCCTGCAAACACAACTAGGTGAATACTACGACAAAATCACTGAGGCATTAGAAAAAAACAGAATGCAGATGTGGTATACACGGACTATGCAAAGGCATTCGATAAATGGAGTGATAGCACACAAAATGAGGTCAATGGGAATAACGGGTTAAAGTAGAATGCTGGATACTCAGTATTCTGTCGAACAGAATTAAAGGAGTAACAGTTGACCATATAAAATCGAGTCCAACCTCAGTAAAAAGCTCTGTACCTCAAGGTACAGTCCTTGCACCACTGTTTTTCCTTATTCTCATATCTTTTCTCCTTATCTTGAGGTTATCTTGAGATGATTTCGTGGCTTTAGCCTCCATTTTGTTACATGCACCCCAGGAAGCAGCCCGTAGCAGCTGTCTATGTACTTTTTCTGTCCAGGTCTTCTTGAAGGGCATGACAATCGTTTAAGTTTATCTTCCCTAATTATCTTGGTATCGTCAGCAAACATGTTCATATAATTCTGTATTCCATCTGGTAGATCATTTATGTAGACAATGAACATTACCGGTGCAAGAACTGAACCCTGAGGTACTCCGCTTGTGACATTTCTCCAGTCCAATACGCTTCGTCTTATTACTGCCCTCATTTTTCTATCGGTCAGAAAATTTTTCATCCATGTTAGCAGCTTACCTGTCACCTCTCCAATATTTTCCAGTTTCCAGAACAACCTCTTGTGTGGAACTCTGTCGAAAGCCTTTTTTTAGGTCCAGATATATACAGTCAACCCAACCATCCCTTTCCTGTAAAATCTTTGTGGCTCGATCATAGAAACTTGAGTAAATTCGATACACAGGATCTACCAAATTGAAAACCATACTGTCTGTCTGATATTATATCATTTCTCTCCAGGTGTTCTACCTATTTAGTTTTAATTATTTTTCCAATATTTTGACTATTACACTTGTCAATAATACAGGTCTGTAATTGAGGGGGCCTTCCCTGCTGCCACTTTTTTGGATTGGAACTATGTTAGCCTGTTTCCACACATCTGCTACGACTCCTGTACACAGGGAAGTCTGAAAAATCAGCTGAAGTGGTATGCTGAGCTCAGGTGCACATTCTCTCAGAACCCATGGTGAAACTCCATCTGGGCCAATTGCTTTGTACTTAGCTCTAAGAGCATTTTTTTCACTTCATCTCAAGACACCTCTATATGCTCTATGCTGTTCTCTGGAATTCTTATTGTGTAAGGTTCCCTGAAGATCTCATTTTGTACAAACACACTTTGGAACTTCTCATTTAATGTTTCACACATTTCTTTTTCATTTTCCGTGTATTTGTCCACCATTTTCAACCTCCTTAATATTAAATAAATAATAATAAAGGAATAATATAATAATAATAAAGGAATATTATCCTTTACCTGCACCCTGCTTGTAATGAATTTATAGAAAAGGTGTTGTACACACACATACATACCTCCAATTAGGTGAGTACATATACATATACATACATATAGTGCCTTAAGCTCCTGTTCACATTTTAGCCAATTCCATGGCTGGGGTTGTGTAATTTGGTACATCACTTTGCAGTGGGCAATTCATTTGGGGTCATAACTCCTTAGCCTCCCGGTACTATTTCACTAATGATGACTGCCAGCAGCCTGGTAAATAATTAATTCATTACACTCGATGATTTATACTGTTTTGTGTGATATATTGGTATAGGAGATGAGAAATAATAATTCTCAAGTTACATTAGTGCATTCGAACCACATCTAGTTTGTATTTGTGATGTGAATAATGCAAAATGAAGAAAATAATTGTTGTTTACTTATGTATTTTCTAATCCCAGATTCTGGTGGAGATGATATAGAGCAAGATGATTTGAGTTGTGCAGATGTATCATGTCTCAACACTATAGAGGAAGATCTGCCTAGATACCCTTTGAGATTGTTTGGTAAGTCACTCAACCTGTGTGTGTGTGTATCCACGGTAGGAAATCTTAGGACTTTCGGAGAATTTACAAATAATTTCCAGAATGAAGAATTTTGTAAATAAAATATTTAAATAATAGGATTATATAAATACTGTATGATTAAAAGTTTAATTTACACAATACTGTACATTGTAAAGCCCTTTACAATATTCCAAGTTGGTCTAAAACAGAAGCAGAAAGAGTGAGTGTAGGTCTCATGAATGGTGTTGCTAATGCATCTCTCTTTAATACTTTAGTTACTCATTATGTAAACTTGGTATGGATAACCTTGGTGAACCAGGAGTGTTATTCCAAGTCATCAGCTTGAGCAAGGTGCCACTGGATTATAATTTTTTTGTGGGGAACCCCATATGGCTCCCTGGAACTATTGGGCTAATATGTGATACATTAAATCGGGGTATTAGTCTATGGCGTTCAGCCTAACCGGAGACCACGAGCCAGAACCTGGCCCTCTCGGAGAGGCATGAGGAGCAATGGCCTATAGAAACCCCCATGTGGTTGGAAGCATTCTTTGTCTGCCGTTTACTGGGTCTGGCACCCAGAAAGAGAGGCGCCTCAAAACAAACCCCTATTCTGGTGAAAACATTGCTACTTTAAGCCGAATTAGTGGACAGAACTCCCCAAACGAAAATTAGCAAACGAGCAAGACGTCATCACGTTGCCGCGCGCCGCTGTCTGCGCAACCCCCCCCCCCTTCCATTCCTCCCAGGAATGGGGGAGCCCCAGACCCTCATTCCAGCAATCCACCCTTCAGTTCTTGGCTGGTGTGTTACTGGCAGGTCGTGTGCCTCTGGCTCCAGATTTTGTCCCAGTTTCTGTGCCTTGTTGCGTGGTCCTATCTCTACGGTCGGTGTGCTAGCCAGGAGTATTATTCTAGTACTTGGGCTGCCTGTGCCTAGGGTTACTTTCCATAGGGCACCCCAGTAAGTACTGCCCTTGGGACTTGGGGCCACCTTCCATCAGTCACCTTGGGGTCTACCTCTGCTGAAGTCTATTACCGAGCAGTCTTTCACTGCTCGGTGATAGACTACCCTTGGAGTTAGCTGGGATTTTTGTTTGCCCTTGTTTGCCTCTGGGTGGGGGGTAGTTTTTGTCACTGGTTGAGGCGCAGGGTACGGCGCAGCTTATCACCTCTCATAGCGGCCAGCTCTGTTCCACCTGGGCACGTTGTCCTCTTGTGGGGTTTTCTTTTTCTTAGTTTTCTCTCCCAGTTGGAGGGTCTTCCTCTTGGTCATACCCTATTGTTCTTGATGGTACTTCCACTAGGCCCCCGCGAGTGCACATGTCCTGGGGGTGCAGCTTTTAGCAGTTTGGTAGTTTTGGGGTGCCAGTTAACTGTACTCTGCCTGGGTTTCCCTTAACGTGGTACCTAGGCTCAGGGTCCTGGGAAACCCTACGAGAGCTCTTTGGTCCGATGGATGTGACCCCTGAGTCCTCTCTCGCGTCGTGCGAAGTTGACGGTTACTTTGTCCCCTTGTCTCAGGGTGACAATCACCGGTTGTGCCTCCGCCATGCTGCCTGTTGGGTCAGTGATTCTATTGACCTGGAGTAGTACGACATTTGTTGTTTTGTACGTACTCCAGTTCACCAAATCTACTGATCATGATATGTGGGTGCGGTTGGTTGCGTCCCCAGATGCCCCCCCGTTTTGGTTATAGGGACCTGGACTTGAGGGTGGGAGTTGCCTCGACTTCGGTTCCGTCCGCTCCTCCTTGTCCTTCCCTTTCAGTTGTTCATCGTGGTTTCACCCCTTGCTTCTGGCTTCGAAATGTCTGAGGGTTTCCGTGTCGGGGCAGGGTCTAGTTGGTGTCGAGACTCGGGTGGTCTCGGGAGAATCCCCTTCTGGGACGTTGGACTATTCGACCATTGGACACTACCTGGGTTTTTGTACCCTCGGAGCGGTGCTTGGTGTTACAAGGAGAGGGAGTCTCTTTTGCTCCCTCCTAGTACGAATTGGATTTGGCGTGTACCCTTTCCCAGGTTTGGTTCCGTGATCCTGTTAGTTCTTCGGTTCCGTCTTTCTGGAGGTTTTCGGCTTCCCACGTCCCATCCCATGTGGTGCGGGAAGCCCTTGCAGCCTACCTGCTGCGCGACCTGGATTATGCATCATGTGTTGTGTCTGGTTGCTTCTCTTTGCTGTTATCTGTGTGCCTCTGCTTCGGTGGCTGGGGGATGTGCTTTGGATTGATCCGGGTTCCCTCAGTCACAGTTTCAGGGCTCAGGTCTCTCAGGTCGTCCAAAGGGTTATTGCATCTAGCCAGCCTGCGGTCTATCCTCATGCCCGCGACGTTAGGAATTTTGCTGCGTTGGCTGCCATGTTTGGTAACATGTCCTGGGCTGATATTCAGGCGCGGGGATTTTGAAGGTCGAACAGGGTCCTGGCCGCCCGTTATATGGTTAACATTTCTGCTCCTGGGCATTCTTCTGTTGCTTTGGGTTGCAGATTGTAGCCAATTGTCTCGACTAATTTTCAGTTTTTAGCTGTAATTTTCTTACCATGTGCAATTTGTTTTGTTATGACTACCTTTCTGAGTGCCTAATCCCAGTCGATGGCAGATAAAGAAAACTCCCAATCATGCGGGTTTTCCAGGGGCCATTGCTCCCTGCTCCTCTCTGAGGAGTCCAGGTTCTGGCTCGTGGTCCCCAGTAGGCTGACCTTCATAGATTAGTGCCCCAATCTTATGTATCACATATTAGCCCGTTAGCTCCAGGGAGCCTCTGGGGCTCACACAGAAAATGATGTTTCATTACATTCAACACTTTTTTTTTTTTTAATGTAATTGCCATGTCAAATCCGGTTAAGTGAGTGTCTCCTTTTTACAGACATACAGATAATCAATGTGCTTATGACTGTAAGTTGATAGATTTCTACCCTGAGAACTGGAACATTGTTCTGTCCAATGTGTGCAATTTTTTTTGTACACTAGAAAGGGGACACTCTAGATATTATTAATGGTTTACTTGAAACTTGTTGACTACATGTTTAACCTGGTAGAGCAGTAGCTGGCATTTTAATATTGTTGAATTACAAATTATATTTTATTTATAGGAGTTATAAAGTGGTTTAATTTCCACTTTAAGAGTTCAAAGTTATATGGTTTTTCTTCAGCAGATGAAGTTGAAGCCGCGTCCAACTGCAGTTCAGTAGCAAATGACATTGAATCTCAAAATGAAAACAAGGGTAAACGACAAGCTTCTAGTGATGGGCCAGGAAGACCCAGGAAAAGGCTCCGTCGTTCCGACAGCAGTGACTCTCAGTCTATGTCTGATCCCGATGATCCTGAACCAGAACCTGAACCCGAGCCCGAGCCCGAGCCTGAGCCTGAGCCTCTTTTGGAGGAGGAGTATCAGGGCCCATATCTTAATGTAAGTGCAAATTGAATATGGGAGGCCATATAGTGTATTTACTGACAGTGTTGGTGTTTTTTGTTGGAGTGCCAAGTACTGCCTACTACTGAGCTGGTTTGGTAAAGGTTGACTTCAGCATTCATAATCCGAGTGAAAGTTTTTTCTTTCAATTATAAATTTGAGTACTAGAAAAATGGTACTTCAATGGTACACAAATAGTGTGCAAATATGCATACTCCACTGCATATACTGACCTTTTTTCTGGTTCTTTCCAGTGTAAATAAAAGCCTGAGCACTTGAAAAGTGGTGCTCAATTAGTACTCAATATATTGAGTATAAATATGTGTATTTTGCTAGTTACTTTTCCCTTGATCTTTCAAGTGCAAATACAAGTACGAGTACTAGAAAATGGTACTGAAGTAGTACTCAGATGTTGAGTATGAATGTGTGTGTGCGCTCCACAACTGACGTTTTCCCCTAGTTCTTTGTGTAAGCTATAATGTTGTGCCATCGTAATGAAGACAGGTTTATACAGGAAACTTTTTTTTATTAAGTAAGACATTTACAAAAAAAAAACAAAAAATTACCTGCAAGATTTGTTGTGAATAGAGCATGGCAGTCCCAAATTCTGTTCAGTATTATTCCGAGAGAGGCATCCATCTGCAGAAATCATACGTTCAGTATTAATAACCTAATCCTGAAAAAGTGCAGCTTATTTATTTTACTCCCCAATCCAGTGTCTAAATTACAAAACTACAATAATGATTTTTTTCATCGTCATTTTTGTCATTCTTTCTCTAGCCTGAAATCATTAAAAAATTTTTACTTGTGCTGAAATATTTATCCACAATACATACATACACACATACACACATACACAGACTTCAGTCACGTGCTACCAGACCTGTAAAGCACAATTGTTTTTATATAAGTATGTTGCCCTTTTCACTACTTTTAAATTTTTTGCATCTATAATCTTAAATACATGCCACATGAATTGCCAGAGTCCTCAGCTCTGGTACTGACTGTAAGTCAGTGATAACGTATTTATTTTTGGTTTTTGTCTGTGGGGGGGGAGGGGGGGGAAGGGGGTTTTTACTGTTGAGGCATTTAACAAATCAGGTCATTTTGGTGTCAACAAGTTAAGTTAAATCCTGTGAAAGATTTATCTCATCTCAAGATAACCTCAAGAAAGTGGCAGTATTTGATAACATTAAGAAACAAATGGCAAATTTTTAATATGTATAACTTAGCCTCATATTTTACTTACAGCAAATAAATGCAATGTACAAAGATATTTGACAGTGGTGGCTGATAATTTAATTGAAAGCTCCTGCAATGTCTTATAAATCATCATCATCATAATTATGTCCAGTTGTTGACTTTGACCTTAACTAATCATATTGGTAGTGTAATTGGAAATTATTCTCATTGCATTATGAATATTAATTGCTGTGAACTGAAAGTTGGATTATATTTGATTTCTTTATCACACAAATATTTTAGAAGCACTATCTGTACAATTCTCAATACTGATCTTAGAAAATAATTTCCATTTTATTTCCATGTGTGTGCGAAGGTTTCATAAATTCTTTTCTTTTCTTGATCATAAAATAAAATCAATAAAACAAAAGCAATATTGGTGACTGTTTGGAAAAGTCCTATATTTTATTCATATATGACCATTTAATTATGTAAACTAAATTATATATTGTGATAAGATAAAGATATAATTTAATTAGCGGTTTAAAAATGCAATTCGTAATGTCATTACACTTGTGAAAAAGCCTATTTCATTTATAACAATCCAAGGTTGATAGTGAACAAATTGTAAACAAAGTATCAATGTTTTTTTTTTTATATATATAAATGAACTCAAATCCTACCTTTCAATAATTTTGTGCATAGAATAGGCAATTTTTATAGGCATAAATTTATGCAAGGATAAATAGATATGCAGTATATAAAGAGTACAGTATACACAAATGTGAGGCACTCACTGTGCAATAAATATTGTAGGTTTCTGTGATTTTTTTTCCCTTCTGATTAAAATTCCTTTGCAATGTATTGGTACCAACACTCCCCAAGCAATTAGGTTGACATTGATATCGGATGAAAATGATAGCGATTCTTGGAACAGTTTAAAAGTAATCTTTGAACAAGTTAACCCCCGAGAGTATGAAGTGAGTGTACCATACCTAAGGCCTAGTATAGATACGCAAGTTATTACAAGGTGTAATCATTGTACTTTTGGGGCCATTGTTTTTGGATATTTATAAATATTGGACTTGAAGGAAAAAATAATCAATGTGCTTTGTGTGAGACCTATTAATAAAGTCTTAGTATAGCAAAATTAAGTTTACAACAATGCCTTATACTTGATATTGCTATATTTTACTTGTGCAGACTATATTCAATAGCTCTTAAATTTTGTCATTCATATATATATTTATTTATTTTGTTAATATTTATTAGGTAATTAAATTGGATACAAAATGAACTTGAATATTCATGCTAATTTAAATTCATTCATAGGGATCAATGCAAAATTAAAAGCTATTATTATTATTTGAATTTTAGGTAGAAATTAGCTCAAATGCCAGCCTTGCCATTTTGAAACGAAGTCCTGTGTTTAGAATTCTATTTACAGTACAGTAAATAATATTTTAATTTATCATGGACAGCAGACGTGTTTGTTAGTACTGTACATTACTGTACAACTTTAAATTTTATCTTTCCTCTTCATTCACAGTCTAGAAGACAGTTACCTGTACATTTTTTCTTAATTATTAAATTTGTATAAAAGCCTGCTTTTAGAAAACCACTACTGATTATCAGAATTAATTATCATATATTCAGAAAATGTATGGTCTGGCGGCATGGAAGAGCTGGGTAACAGGAAAGAATGCAGAGCTGGCAGGAGTCTCTTCCTCTCGCACTATGAAACTGGTCTCAGAGGACTTGCTTTCTATGAACTGTGACGAACTCAACTATGCCCTCTGTCTCTTCCTCAAAGATCTGAGGAAACCCAATGGGGAAGCCTACCAGCCAGATACCATCTTTTATCTACTACTCGGTAAGTTGACTCTTGCTTTAGTAACTGTTGTGAAACTGTAACCCTTCACATTATTTTTTTAGCTATTGATAAATTAGTTTTAGTAACCTGCTTGATGACATTTTAACTAGTTACTGCTTATGCTTAGTATACAGTGTTGGGTAGTATGAGTATAGAACTCAAGAGTGATTAAAGAATTGAATTAAAGTTACTGTTTATAAAGGGTATTGCTTTGCTTAGCTGGAGATAAAATTTGTTACATAATGAGTTGTGTTGCAGAAGTAACAAAAGTGATTGTTGTTGACAATGTTTAAGTAGTAATGTGAACATAAAAGAACATTTTAGTGCACTGTTTTTATGAGCAAGGGTGTGAATAAATTATACTGAAGAGGCAAAATTAAGTTATTGTCAAAGTTAAATTTAGAGGTTATCCTGGGTGTGAATGATGAGCAATACTAAGGAATCCATTGAAGGAAACTTACAGAATAAACTTGGTTGTCCATCTCGAAAGTAACTCAGGTTTGCGGCATTAGTACAGAATTAAGAATAGGCCTATTCATAACAGGTGAAAGAAATAATCTACCTCAGTAAAATCATCAGTATCAAATGGATGGATCTGTGGCTTAAAAATGTGCTTCCCTCCCAGCAGTTGTCCTTCAGGAGATTGCCATAGCAGATGTTTTTTCAAGATGCTATTTATTACCTTGCAAGCCTTCTCTTTCACATATTGCTCCACTCACCTTTTCTAAAATACTGGTTGTCTGTCTCTAGCTTCTCATACTCGCTCTGTACTCCTCCTTACCCATGGGTCCCATCTTTGGGTGCAGGACTCGATAAAAAGTTATTACAGATAAAAATTAACTGTATAGTAACTTAGGCATCTTTTACTCCTAATCATTTCTTACTTCATTTTTAGTCTATTAATAATTAATTTAAAAGGGTATATAATTTGTATGAATTAAAAAATGCTCGAATCATTGTGTATCACAACCTATCTCCATGCTGTCTCAAAAGGCACTGATCTTTGCTCATGGAGTGCAAATTTTTCCAAGAGCAATGCACGGCTGCCAGATGTATAATGATTTTGTTGGCACAAAATTAAACTATTGTTTTTTATATCTGCTGATACAGGACAAAAAAATTGAACATGTTGTGCCCAGTGCAATGTGTACAAGTCTCCTATGACACTATAATGTCATTTATATCATAAGGTAAATTACCTGATATATTTTTGCACAAGTATTCAACAGGACTTGGGTAATAGTTAAAACAATAAACTGCCTTTTTATGGGCTTAGGTTATGTAAAGTTTACTAAGCGCCTTCAAGAAATCACTAAAACCATTATAAATCATTCCCCGTCTCCAGACTTGTAATGAAATTTTTGCAGGAGGGTAAATTCATTTGTGCATTTCAGCAGTTAAATAAATAAATGCTTATGATTTTTTCAGGCATTCAACAGCACTTATTCGATAGTTCAAGAACAGACTGCATCTTTATGGACTTTGGGTTTGAAAAGTTTACTAACAGCCTTGATGAAATCACCAAAAAGTTTTTAAATCAGTCACCATCTCCAGGTTTGTAATATGGTTTTTGCAAAAGTAGCAAACATTTACTTTAAAGTTGTAAAATTACAAATTAGCTTTTTCATATTTTGGATTACTGAAAGAAATAAAAATGTAGAGTGTAATGAATTTGATCATAACACTTAGCCTGTAACTTATGTCAAATAATGTTTAAGTGACCACAGGATCGGTCTCTACCTGTTTTCCACTATAGAAATTTAAAAAATCACTCAATGTTGTACATATCAATGAGAAAATCAGTTGGATCAATGTGGTGATTCAAACCAAGGATCAGAGTACAGGTTGCCCAGCCGTGCACTTTACCCCTGTACCACAAGATTGTAATAAATTATGCAAGCTGAGATTCCACTGATGTTACATTCTTATAAGATCTTCTCTCCCTTTGTTGCCAGTACTTTTTGCTCTGCTCCGCTTATTTAAATACTGTAGAGTAATTAAGGATTACCCTAGAGTAATTAAGGATTACCTCTACCATGTAAATTAAAATACCAATGATGGTGTATGACCTGTTCTATTTCAGGTGTTTTGTCACCAGATTCAGTTGGGATCACCAGAATAACTGAAACAATGTTGTGGGAATGTAGGCAGCTTGGTGCGCACACCCCACAAGTTCTGCTTAATACACTCTTCTATTTTAATACAAAAGTTTTTAAACTCAAGGTAAGAATAATCAATTTCATACAGCATCTACAGTGTTCAGTGTGTGTGTGTGTGTATATATATATATATATACATATACAGTATATATATACTGTATGTATATACAGTATATATAAAATGTGTGTGCACGCATGTGTAAAATTACCTAAGTGTAGTTACAGGCCTGTACAGGATATGCTCTTAATGTCCAATCATTCCTATAATATTTGTCATGTGACATTTTGAAGCTTATGATAATTTTTTATACCATTATCATCGCTATTCATACATTTTCTGGGGGGAGCCCCTTCGGCTCCTCGGAGCTATCCAGGCTGATATGGGTATATTAGACTTTGGCATCAGTCAGTGTGAATGGAGTTCTTAGGCCTACTGGGGACCACGTGCCAGAAACTGGCCCCCCTCAGTGAGGCACGATGAGCAATGGCCTATAGAAATTCACATGTGATTTGGAGCATTCTATGTCTGCCATCAACTGGTCAGGCACCCAGAAAGGTAATAATCCCAAAACAAACCCCTGTTTTGGTTGAAACTACTACTGAAGGTCTAAACGAGTGGACATAACCCTCCTTTAAAAAACAAGCAAATGATCATGATGTCACCACGTGCCGTGCTGCCGTCTGTGCAGCTCCCTCTTCCCCGGAAGGGGGAGCCCCAGACCCTCACGTCGGCTACCCACTCTTTCAGTTCTCGGCTGATGTGCTGAGGCTTAATCCTGTAGCTCCAGCTCCTGATTCTTGTTTTCAGTGCTGTGCCTTGTGTCTAGTGTTGTCTTCAGGGTGGTGCATGAACTGGGAGTAATCTTCACAGGTAATTGAGCTGCATGCGCTGAGGGTTGCCTTCCCTAAGTGCTTTATAAGTACCTCCCTTGGGACTTGGGGTCTACCTCTGTTTCGTCTATTGCTGCTCGATAATAGACTGCCCTGAGTGTGCTGGGGGGTTTCTTCCTCTCTTGTTTACCATAGGGTAAGGGGTAGTTTGCACTTGTAGGGGTGCCGGGTGCTGCACAGCTGGTTATCACCTATTATAGTGGCCAGCTCTGTTTCACCTGGGTACGTTGTTCTTTTGCGGGGTTTTTCTTTTCATTTTTGTTTTCCTGCCTAGTTGTGGGGGTCTGCCTTTGATTGGTTGCCCCCTATCTATACTTCGAATTATGTACATATCTGTGTTTTTGGGTGGTATTCCTTGTTAGGCCCCCATGAGTGGACACGTCCTGGGGGTTCAGCTTTTAGAAGTTTAGAAGTTTGGTACCGCAAACTTGCGCGCCGGTTTGCGGTACCCTGCCTGGGCTTACACTTATTGATACCAGTCTAAGCGCCCTGGGAAGCCCTGCGGGGGCACAAGGGGTCCGATGGATGCGACCCCTGAGTCCCCTCTCGTCTTGTGCGAGTTTGAGGGTTGCTCTGTCCCCTTGTCTTGGGGTGACTCACTGTTTCTGGAAGGAGCCCCTACTGCTTCCCAGAGCTATCCAGGCTGATAAGGATACCCTAACTTTTGCCCCTATTCTGGTGAAAAACACAGAAAATAGAGAAACAAGTAGACAGAATTCACCAAATGAAAACGAGCAAACAAGCATGACGTCACACGAGCCTACTGTCTTGCTTTCGTTTTGAATTGCGCGTAGCGTCTGCCTCTCAGGTGTATCCCTCTTTACTTTCTCTTTGGTGACGTAGCTCCAGGGAGCCAGAGGGGCTCCCCCCCAGAAAACCAGCATTGAATGTAATGAAACACCATTTTCTGGGTGAGACCCGGAGGCTTCCCGGCATCCCTTTCTCCCTCCCTCCGGTCGTTTTTTTTTTTTTTCTTTCTTTCTTTAACTTCCAATCTCTGAACTGAAGGTGTGGGTAGCTGGCATGAGGGGTCTGGGGGGCTTCCCTTTCCTCTCTCAGTGAGGGGGGAGCCGCGCAAACGGTGGCGCAGCACGTGGTGACGTCATGATCGTTTGCTTGTTTTTCTTTGGGGAGTTCTGTCCACTTACTTGACTTTCTGTAGTAGTTTCAACCAGAACAGGGAATTGTTTTGCTTGCATTTCTATAGGCCATTGCTCCTCGTGCCTCTTTGAGGGGGGGGGGCAGTTTCTGGCTCGCTGTCCCCGATAGGCCTAAGAACTCCATTTACACTGATGCCTAAGTCTAATATACCCATATCAGCCTGGATAGCTCTTGGGAGCCTCCGGGTCTCACCCAGAAAATGGCGTTTCATTACATTCAATGCTGGTTTTTTCCACACCTTTGTTTTCTTGGCTTTAAAAGCTTTAATGTGGCTTTTTTCTTTAAGTTGCATGGTAAAAAAGTTTCTCTTTGTCAGCTTTGTTGAGTCTTTTTGCAGTTTTGAATGAGGTAATCATAGTGCCTCTCTTTGCTTGTATATACTATTGTGCTACATGGTCTTCCTGGCTTGGTGCCTTCTTTTGATAATTTTTTTTTTCTTTATCATATTTAATTCCTCCAGCTTCTCCACATGGCTCTTCATTTTTAGGCCCAGAAGCCACTTAATAGCATATTTTTGTACTTATTCTGTTTTGTTGATGTGTTTGAGATATAGACACAACACAACTTTCACATATTCTAATTTTGGTATCATGACTATTATGAATATTCCCCATTCATGAATATAAAAGTAAATTTGAAATTCACAAGCATAATATAGGCTCCTCTCAAAATACTTTTGATGTTATCCTTCAGTGATAGTTGACTCCTTAACCACCTTTTAGATCTTTCTTTGTCCAAGTAATTAACAATTAATATTGATGTTAATATGATTATTATTAATTTCTTTGTCCAAGTAATTAACAATTAATATTGATGTTAATATGAAAGGTTTTACTGTTTCTTTGCAGACTATTGAGGAGCATCAAGCCTTGTCTTTTGCACAAATAGTGAAACATTTTAGACGGTCAAATGTTGGGGAGGAAGGTTCAGTCACAAGGACAACTATGCTTAAATTTTACCCCAAGAAATCTCTGGAAGGTTAGTATAGAAAGCTTAGTGTGCTTAAATAAAAGTTTGTATGTTTTAAAAAAAGATCACAATCATGCCTCATTTATTCATATGATTATTATTATGAATAGTAGTATTATTTTTATCTGAAAACATTACTGGCATAGTGGTTAAATTTGTCATAGTTATATTAAAACAAATTACAGTATTCTTTAATTAGGTGTTCTTGATAGGGATGTAATCAACCACATTTACACAAATATAAGCCACTCCCAGTTGTATGTCACAGTAAGATTTAGACATAAGGCACTGAGGTATGGTATAAATGAGGAACTTAAATGAAATTCAGGATACAGAACACAATCAGACCTATTCATAGAAGGAAAGCAACATTAAAAGCTCTGGGAATTATGATACCTGACGACTTGACATTTAGTGAACATAACCAAGCAAATATAGTGGCAGCCGTGTAATGATAGGATGGATTTTAGAACGTTTAAATTCAGGGGACCCCACAGCATTGCTAACACTATTTAAATCACTGGTGCTGTCCCATCTTGAGTATTGCTTGGTACTCACCTCCCCTTTCAGAGCAGGAGAGATCTCTGAATTAGAGGGAATGCAGAGAACATATACGGCACGCATAGAAAGGATAAAGCATCTAAATTATTGGGACCATCTCAAAGCTCTCAAAATGTACTCTCTGGAAAGGAGACGAGAAAGGTATCAAATAATTTATTTATTGATTTATTCATTAATTTATTTATATACAAGAAGGTACATTGGGTTTATGAGAGTAGAGAGACTTGAAGTAAAGCCATTAGCAAGCATAGCATTTTGGGCAGATCCTTAATCAAACATATAATTTTAAAAAGGTAATTTCTAGCAAAGTTAAAAAAAAAAAAATTTACAGGTACATTGTAAGAAAGTATAAAAATAAATTGTAAGTCTAAAAATATATTGTAAGAAGGTATAAAAATACAGTGTAAGAAAGTATACAAAAATACATTGTATGATAAATTTGACAAAAAAAAAAGTAGGTACATTGAAGTAAATTTAAGGCTTATCCACAGGTACATTTTAGCATAATTTGAGGATTATTGCAAGATATAATGTAGCAAACTATGTGTATAACATGATACAAGATAACAGCATTGATTACAATGGCAAAGTTGTATGGCATAGGTACATATATTGGGGAATTGGGTAGCATTAGATACAACACTAGGTAGGAAACTATGAAGATAAAATTAGGTACTTTTTGGTTTTATTTTTGAATAAGGCAAAAGTTTGACAGTTTTTCAATTCCTTAGGGAGTGAGTTCCATAGACCAGGTCTATTTATTTGCATAGTGTTTACACAGATTAATTTGACTCTGGGGATATCAACGAGATATTTATTTTTGGTGTGGTGATTGTGTTCTATTACATCTCTCAAAGAAGAATTTCAGAACAGGGTTTGCACTTAAGGAAAGGGTTTTGTAAATGTAATTGGCACAAGAGAATGTATGGATTGAGGTTATGTTTAGCATATTTAGGGATTTAAACGGGAGCTGAGTTTTGTCTGAAAGCCAAGTTTGTTATTGTTCTGATAAGCAGATTTTTGCTAGGTGACAATGGGCTTGAGGTAGTTTGCAGGTTGAGCCCCCATGCACAGATACCATATGTAAGATAGGGATAGATTAGCACATAGTATAGTGAGAGTATAGTATAGCCGATTTTTACTTAGGCTTTGCAATGCTGCTTTAGAATCGGTGCAAATCACTGCACCATTAGTGTTTCGTTCAAGAAACCTTAATACCATAACAATGGCAGTGAGCTCTGCTTGTGTTGAAGAGGCATAGTTTTCAATACGCGCTTTTTCTTCATTTCTGCGTTGGAAAGCATTATCCTTAATTACCGTGTATGCTGCACCAGCCCTGGCATTGACAGGATTAGGTGACCCGTCAGTGTAGATTTCATCTAGTTCATCACCGGCTTCTTTATAAATTTCCTCGAGATACTTATGCCTCATTTCTTGTGGTATCATGTTGGATTTTTTCGCTGCTCATCACGGTGTTGTCAACATTATACAGCTGAGCCATGTAGGGGTTAAGAAAGTAAATAATTGTAAAAGATCTTTTGCACAAAATTTGTATTCATTATGACTGAATTAATTTCTAATTCTACATTGCAGATGAGAAAGCAAAGAGAAATTATGAAATGCATGAGAATAGAGATGACCCTCTGAGATGTCCTGTCAAGTTGTATGAATTTTACATTTCTAAGTGGTGAGTATTGTTATAAATTTATTGCTATATTGATTCATAATTCAAATGAAGCAAAGCATGTATTCAGAATATTATAGCATTCAGAATAATATAACATTTCAGTTAAAAATTTATTAAGGAAATTATTTTGAATTTTTGGATACGAAGTCTGGATTAAAATAAATAATACAAAAAACAAGTTCATGTTAAATTGTATAATTTTCTGGGAGAGCCTCATCGGCTTCCCGGAGCTATCCAGGCTGATAGGGCATTATTAGCTTTCTGGCATCAATCAAAGTGCATGGAGTTCTTGCCTACCGGGGACCACGCACCAGAACCTGGCCCCCCCCTCAGAGAGGCATGATGAGCAATGGCCTATAGAAACCCTGTGTGGTTGGGAGCATTCTATGTCTGTCATCAACCAGGTCTGGCACCCATAAAGGTAGGCACCCCCAAAACAAACCCCTATTCTGGTGAAAATACTGCTACTGAAAGCTGAACAAGTGGACAGAACTCCCCAAACGAAATGTGATGACGTCAAGCTCGTTTGCTAATTTTCGTTTAGGGAGTTCTGTCCACTCATGCGGCTTTCAGTAGCAACATTTTCACCAGAGTAGGGGTTTGTTTTGGGACACCTACCTTTTAGGGTGGCCCGGTTGATGGCAGACATAGAATGCTCCCAAGCACACGGGTTTCTATAGCCCAGTGCTCCTCATGCCTCTATGAGGGGGGCCACATTCTGGCTCGAAGTCCCCGGTAGGCAAGAACTCTATGCACTTTGATGCTAGAAAGCTAATATCCCTGTTGATACATATCAGCCTGGATAGCTCCAGGGAAGCCTCCAGGTCTTGCCCAGAAAATGGCGTTTCATTACATTCAACACTGTTTTTTTTTTTTTTTTTTTATTTATTTGTTTTCTTAGTTACCATTTTGTCACAAAGCATAATTATCATTTCTTATTTATCATTTTTTATATTCCTCATTTTAAGGAAATGGAAACATTGGAAGGCATTTGATGCTTCTGTTACAATTTACTAGAGGCTACTTCTGCAAAGAAGTTAATTTCCTGTAAGGAAATAGGTTTTTGGCATGTCAAGCCCCCAGATTAAGCCACCCATTTGAATGATCATCATTGCTAGTTGGGTTGTGGTATTCCATTTGAATGATCATCATTGCTAGTTGGGTTGTGGTATTCCATTTGAATGATCATCATTGCTAGTTGGGGTTGTGGTATTCCAATTACTATCTACATGATAATTATTCATTTTTCAGCCCTGAGAGCGTGCGCAGCCAGCGAAGCATGTATTATGTTTACCCTGAAAGATCCTGTGTTCCTGACTCCCCAACCTGGTTTTCAACTCAGGCTATACAAGCAGCTACCGTCTCTAAAATGTTGCACCGTGCACTTATGGTGAGGGAAGTACAGGAAGCATTAATGGAGTAATGACATTCCAAGGATGAGGAGAGTTTTGTGTATATGCAAATGACTGATCTTTTTTAAATACTGTATATGAGAACAATTTTAAGATTTTCTGATGTGCATTGTAATTGGGCATTATGGCTATCCCTGAAAAATGGAATTTCATAAAAATCAACATTGGATCTCAGATATAAATAAATCCTTATTATTTATGAGAAGATTTTAAATGCGTACAAGGCAAAGTGTTTTATAAATGTTTGGATGATATTATGCCAACTACTTTTTAAGTTGAATACAGATTTAAAAAATTTAATTTCTTAAATTTTATTTGCAGTTATTTTGGGTTCAGGAACACAGTTTTAATTGTGCTTTTCACTACTTTGTTGGCAGAAGCCTCCACACTGTATAGCTTGGAAATGTAGAAGTAATAATACTGTAAAATAAAAGTAATTTTTTAAATATATTTGCTTGAGAAAATGAGGGTGTGTATGTGTGTATGTAAATAGGTGGGAGGGGGGATTGGGATGTGTTTAATGTGGTTTTTTGCTTTTTAGCCATATACCAGAAATGCTAAATTTCCCCCAAAATATAGTTTTCAAATACACAGGATATGCAAAAGTTTAATATTTATGAAAATTATTGTTAATTAAACTTAATCTATACAGTGGATTCTAGTGCACTAAATTTTCCATTGCATCCATTTCATCTGACAAAAACCAATTCAGAATATTTCTATTGCATCAAACGTTAATTTAAACTGGATTATCTTTTAGCGGATTTCACTGTACTAATGTTTTGCACAATATAGTTAATATAGCCTTATATTAATATTATATGGCATCAATAAAATATGTACATTTTTGTAATGGGCAGAATTATTTATTTAGATTATAGCAAAAATTTAATATAAGCTCTATAATAATATATAAAATGTCTGCTGCCATAATTTTGTTTTTACAGTGAAACCTCTGAAAATCTGAACCTCAAAATAATGAATATTGTCTGTACATTTAAATAATGGACTGATTTTGCTGCTGGATCACATATCAAAAACATGAATTTTAGAGCTAAATTTGTGATCATTTGTGTTGAAGTCCAGGCCATTACACGCAGTAATTTCATGCAAATGCAGTGGTATTTTTCCGCAATTTGTAGCATTCTTGAAATTTTAATATTTAATATTGTTAAAATATTATTTTTTACAATAAAATTTTAAATAAACTTGTGGTGCCATTTAAATGGTACAATGCAGTTAGTTTGGACTTCATTTTGTGTTTATGGCCATGTGAAACCCCCACACCCTGGACATGTCGAGTACTTTTCTCTGTGCTGCTAGCATTTATAAGGTTTTTGATACAGTTCATTTTCCTTTTGGTAAGAATTATTTGTGATTGGAAAAAGGTGCCTGCTAGCACGAGCATTATGATTCGACCAGGAAAGAACAGGAAGAGGCACCATAGCTTTGATGAAAAGGTTATATTTACTGTATATTAAAAAATGGTTATAGCACTTGAGTAAAGATCAAAGCTCAGGTATTGTCACTTAGACATTTCTATCATTAAAAAAGTCAGAGAAGACAATTTTTTTTGGGGGGGAGGCTGAAAAATTCTCAGGGGCTCAAATATTAATGAGTTTGGTCAAGCAGTTTACAAATACAGTGTTGTTACCCACAAAATTTTGTGTGTTCATTAAGGTAAGTAAAAAAATCAGCATTTACCATTTTTTTTTTGATATAAGTAAATAATATATAAACATCTGGTATGTTTATATATTATTTAAATAAATATAAAGGTACAGTATGTTATATTAACAGAACTACAGTAAATTTGCTGATAATTAGTAAAAAGGGTCAAATGCAACTCCCTACATTTAGATTAGTTGTTAATCTGGACCAATATGATCTGGATTTTAGAGATGCTACTCTATAAAAATGTGGGATAATTTATTTTACTTTTTTTTTTTTATTTTACTAAATTAAATAAATGCAATACTTTCAATGTATAGAAATAATTGTCACTATTTGCCCCCCTCCCCAAGTCAAGTTCTGCATGTTCATCTTATTTGGCGAAGTGAGTTGTCAACTAGAGCTTTCTTGTGTTTTGGCTAAAAAGCATAAAATAATCAGGACTAAACAAAGTGGAGCAAGACAGAATATTCACAATACTGTGTTTAGTTTAGGTGGAAGTAGATGGTGAGGACCCAGTTAAATGCATTGATGAGTGGAAGTGACATAAGAGAGACTTGTTCAGAGTCCAGGTAGTGAGCAAGAGGATGAGTTAGTGCAGACCAGGTCCATAAACATCTTCGCTTGTACACACGACGAGGAAATAAGTCGGAGTCATTGCAGTTAACAATTAAAGCTGGAAGTCTAGGACCCAGGCAAATAAGCTCATCAAACAAATTATTGTATATATATAGATTTTCACTTTGATATGTACTTGTGAAGAGGATTTAATATATCTTGCAATTTGAAAGTCATTACAACTTTTTTATTATTTTATTAAATGAAAAAGGAACATATTTATGTATTTGTAACTGTAAAAGCAAAGAATGCTGGTTTTCTTACAGCAGCTGTAACAAGTTTAAATGTTACTAATTATGACCACCAATTTAAGGAGTTTTTAATGGCACTGAAAGGGGAAATTTATTTGATGTATAAATAGTAATAGTGTGCTAAAACAATCATAAATCATTTCTATATTTTGTATAAACTGTATTTACTGTACTGTTAATTATGTTTGTAGTCTGTCTCTGAATCTTTTCACTTTTATAGTTTTTTTTTATATGACTTTAATTTTTTATGCATTTGTACATAGGTCTAGCAAAACAAGTTTTTTGTTTGACTGAAGGTGCTTTATGGTTGCCATATACTTCGATATACCTAGTGGAGATTAACTAGGCTCTGAAATTGAAAAGCCCTTCTATCTTATTCTTCTATCCTGAATGAATAACATACAACAACTGTTACTTTCTGAAATCAGTAAGATTACATTTGATAATTTACCAAAATACTGATAAGATTAGGTACAGTTGTTTATTTTATAAATATGTGTATGTGTCATGAACAGGTGTTTTGCTTTAGGACACTTTGTTTGGTGGTTCATATTTATTTATAAATAGTAAGATGATTAATGGTACTCATTTATATAATAAACATTCAAGATTCCATGTATTGTTTTGCATATTTTTTTTGTAAGACTCCATTCATTTTATATGCAAATATAAGTTCCATAAAATAATTGTCATCCATTTTTTAAGTTTGTAAGGCTGGATGGAGCAAAGTATGCTAATTAAAGAAAGTGATGAAACAACAATAATTGAATAAGCATCAATTTTCAAGACTTAGTGTATTCAAGGGGAGAAAAAGATTGCTTTCAAATGTGATGTAAAAGTGGCAGGTCAAATAATATACTAGTAGTTTCTAGTTGTAATTTTTATCTGGTGAATTAACTAGCAGTTGATAAAATACCTATTGAAAATAATTGTTTTAAAAAGCAGATGCCAAAAAATCTAAACCTTATTTATTAACCTAAACCTTATTTCCTGTCTCTCAACTGTCATTCAACTGGTATCAAGAATCTGTACACCAGTTGATTGACAGTTGAGAGGTGGGACTAAAGAGCAAAGCTCAACCCCCACAGGCACAACTAGATAAGTACTAAACATAGTTAATTTTTTTTTTCATATTGCCAAACAAAGAAGTGTTTGTGTGCACAGCGTGAAAACAGGACTGGTTCATCAATAGTATTTTATTGCCAAGATATATTTTTTACTTCTGAGTTTATACACTAGATATTACATTTTTGGCTAGATATGACACGATATTTCCAGATGAGGAAGATAAAAGATGCGAAGAGTTACGAGGCATGCTCTCTACAGCTTGTACACAAATTGATGGCATGCCAGCGGGAGGCAACATTATGACTGCTTTGGTGGGGTGGGGGGGATAAGCGTCTCTCACGAACAATCACGATATCACTTGAGTTTTTCATGAAACCAGCTACGCGACTCACATTGGAATAATGATAGTCCTGCGGTCTCATAGGAGGATCCAGGAGGAGTTTTCCTGGACTGTAAACATCATACTAAAACAAACGGAAGCATCACCAGCATTTAGAGGTAAAGAGTCCATCCTGGTCCCACGCGGCCACTGTACCAACATCCAACTGTTCAACTTTCTTTCCCCCTGATAATTCTCATCCCATTACCATTGTTCAACCAAAGTATGACAGATTCTCTCGATCTGTAAACCTTCACCATTTCCTATTTGATAATGTTTTTGTCACACGCCCTTGTTTATAATGTACCTTTAGATTTACTCTTGTTGAACCATCAGTTTGTGTTTTGTCCTTCATGCCTTTTATCTTTGTTAAGTGAAATTTAATTTGTTTCATAAAATTTTTTGGCTGTACCATTTGTTCAGCTGATCGCCAAATGCCATATTTTGCTGACACTCTTGCTACTTGTAAAAACTGTGTGGAGTAAGATTTCACACCTGCCCGGCCACGAAGGATGTAACCTTCAGTATAAGTACTGTACAGTACTTGGGTATACGTCGACCAAGCTCACGAGGCGTTTGACCTATCATCTTCAATCAGGTGCCCCTAAAAAACAGTAGAGAAGCCCATGACATCACCCTAACAGGAGAAATGCTGAATAAAAACACTTGCATATTAGACAAATCCAAAGATGTAAGAAGATTAAAAATTCTTGGAGTCCCTGACACAAAAATCGAACAACCCACCATAAAAACTTAACGTAAGAGGCTATTCATGCCCGTGCTACCTCTTGGGTGGCTTAATCTTCATCAATCAACCATTCTGTCTCGAACCGGCAGGATGCTGCTTCTGGAAACTTAACTTTTTAAGACTGCTCATAGTCCAGTCGACAGTTACGGCCTCACGCCAACCCGTCCTCGACTCTAGTCCATTACATCCGTTTCTGTTCTTGTATTGGCATCCTTGGTGATATTTAACCCCCTCTGATTATCCCGCACATTTGATGGTGCTATATAGCCTTCCCGGTTTGGTGCCTTCTTTTGATAATTACATCCAGCGGTCGACCCCACAGACGCATTCATAAATTTTTCCATGCTGTTCATTCAAAAGTGGAATTTTCTCAAATATAAATTAATATTATAATATATTAGCATATTGTGCATATATAGGCTTAGGTGTTTAGGTTCTGTTGGCGATTATTTGTAGTACGTGGGTGAAGGATTTACAGCGTTGTGATTCAAACAAAATTCGTCAGTGAAGCACTTGTTCCGGAAGTGTTCGGACGTCAACAGTTGAAAGTCGTGTGTAAACTTTTTCATTCATAAACAGGGGGTTTGGCGGGTGCGTGGAATCACTTTTGTGTTTTTGGAGGATGGGCTGGACGCGTGGGGTCCACGGTTCGAGATCCACGCAGTCCAGGTGCAGCCCGTCCTCCAAACAAAGACCCAAAAGTGATTCCATGCACCCGCCAAACCGCCTGTTTACAAATGAAAAACGGGTTACACACGACTCACAACTGCTGACTTTCGAACACTTCCGGAACAAATGCTTCACTGACGAATTTTGTTCCAACCACAACGCTGTAAATGCTTAGCCCACGTACTACAAATACAAATAATCGCCAACAGAACCTAAACACCTAACCTAACCTATGCTTATATATGCACAATATGCTAATATATTATAATATTAATTTATATTTGGAAAAATTCCTGTTTTGAATGAACAGCATGTACAAATTTATGAATACGTCTGTTGGGTAAACCGCTGGATGTAATGGACGAGTTGAGGACGGGTTGCCAGGTGAATGGAATATTTGTTTCCGCGGAATGTGTTTGTTTCAGATTCAGCTATTCAGAACATAAGTTCCAAGTAGCACGGGCTATGGTGAGCCTGTAGTGGACTTACCTGGCACAGGAGCGGGGCTGTGTGTGTGTGGTTGTTGGTTCCACGGAATGTTGTTGTTATAGATTCAGCTACTCGGAATAAGTTCCAAGTAGCACGGGCTATGGTGAACCCGTAACATACCTGGCACAGGAGCGGGGCAAGTAATACGGGCTATGGTAAGCCCGTAGTGGACTTACCTGGCGCAGGAGCGTTGCTCTGGTTCCACGGAATTGTTGTTGTTGTTGTTATAGATTCAGCTACTCAGAACAAGTTTCAAGTCTCCGTGGTGTACTGGTAAGACACTCGCCTGGCGTTCCGCGAGTGCTTTGTCATGGGTTCGTATCCTGACCGGGGAGGATTTACTGGGCGCAAATCCTTAACTGTAGCCTCTGTTTAACTCAACAGTAAAATGGGTACTTGGTTGTAAAAACGATTCTTCGCGGCGGGGATCGTATTCCAGGGACCTGCCCAAAACGCTATGCGTACTAGTGGCTGTACAAGAATGTAACAACTCTTGTATATATCTCAAAAAGTAGCACGGGCTATGGTGAGCCCGTAACTTACCTGGCCCAGGAGCGGGGCAAATAGCACGGCCTATAGTGAGCCCGTAGTGGACTTACCTGGCACAGGAATGGTGCCATGACCGTTCCACACTTCCACGGAATGTTGTTGTTTCAGAATTAGCTACTCAGAACGAAGTGTCCATGTAGCACGGGCTATGGTGAGCCCGTAAAGACCCACGGATTGATTGATAAAGATTACGCCACCCAAAAGGTGGCACGGGCATAAATAGCCCGTAAGTGGTGGCCCTTTTGAGCCATTACCAGTAGCAAGAGTTGATACTGGAACTGTGGAGGTGCGACTGCACCCTGCGTGACGGGAGATGTCTCCCCCCCCCCGTGGACCCACGGAATGTTGTTGTTATAGATCCAGCTACTTGGAACAAGTTCCAAGTAGCACGGGCTATGGTGAGCCCGTAACTTACCTGGCACAGGAGCGGGGCAAGTAGCACGGGCTATGGTGAGCCCGTGGTGGATTTACCTGGCACAGGAGTGGTGCTGAATGTGTGGACCCACGGATTGATGAAGATTAAGCCACCCAAAAGGTAGCACAGGCATGAATAGCCCGTAAGTGGTGGCCATTTTGAGCCATTACCAGTATCAAGAGATGATACTTGAGATCTGTGGAGGTGCGACTGCACCCTGCGTGACGGGAGATGTCTCCCGTCACGCAGGGAGTGGAAGTGGGTAGAATTCTACCCACTTCAAGACTCCGCACCAATATAGAAGCATCAAGAAATATGGGCCAATAGGCCCTTTGCAGTTAATTTCATTCTTCCCTTTAATTTACCCAATTTATACCCATTGTTTCGTGTTCTGTCTTGTGTTGAAAGTTTTGTTCACCTCATGCAAAACTGTTGTAACATATCACCTCACCCAAATGCGGGTATATAAGATGAAAGTTTAAATTATAGCATAGTAGAACTCTGTTTAATGTTTGCAGGTTATAGTTGTGTGTGTGTAAACTAAAGTCTTTGAAAATGTAATAAGTTATTACGAAACGCGTTCAAGTGTCGCGTCAGACTAGAAATAAAAATGAATTTTGGAGAATTGATTTTTCAATTACCATCGACAGTGAAAAGAAACAAGAAATATTGAGAAAATTCGTGTTAGAATTATTAATCTTACTTTTTCGGTCATATTTAATAATATATATATTTATATATATATATATGTTGTTGAATATGATCGAAAAGATAAGATTAACAATTCTAACACGAATTTTCTCAATATTTCTTAGGTTTTTCTTCACTGTCGGTGGTAATAAAATGCTAATGTCGATGGTTTTCTTATGAAGAAAAACATAAGAAATATTGAGAAAATTCGTGTTAGAATAATTAATCTTACCTTTTCGGTCATATTCAACAACATATGTTTACAAGAAAGACTGCTACCAATATATATATTGGTAGCAGAATATGCAACTTTTTTTTTTTTTAACAAAAACGTACGTACCAAAGCAACCCACCTATCCAATCGAGGCCAATGTACAGGAAACGTTAATATTTCAGTGCTTTAACTTGTTCAAATCCGTCACATTTTGAATGGCTTGGTCGATACCGTAAAAAATCTGACGTATTAGATAAGAGGACGGGCGGAAATGGTGGCAACATAATGGATTCATACTGGAACCTAAATTTGTATTGAAGTCTTCTGTAGATTTGACTTGCAATGTTGTCTATCTCATTCCGAATTACAATTTATATGTGCATAGCAGCCTAATATATTTGTGCAAAAATATTCACCTATATCACTTGCAGATTTAACACTGAAGGATATCTACACAGACATCATCAGAGACAGTTGAATAGTTGACAGTTGAAATTTACAATTTTTTTTAGAAGCTGACGTTATAGTGACCAAATAATGCAAGTTTTTCGGCAACCCGCGACCCGGGTTAACAGACTAAGAGGGCTGACGAGACCTCAGTCACCGCCACGCCGTCATCGAGGGCTGATGCGCTGCTCCGTCAGGAAGTTGTCAGTGATTTTTTTTTGTCTATTTAATTTAACTTTATTAAATAAGTCGACTTAA